CTCGACCTGACCTGGCATACCCTCTTAGCATCCTGGCACGCTATGTTGCTCCTGGGAGACACCGGAAGGAGCACATGGATGCTGCTAAGAGGGTGTTGCGCTACTTGTGCAGTACGTCGGGCATGGGGCTCGTGCTTGGAGGACGGGCTCGAGTTGTCCTCACTAGTCACGCAGACGCTTCCTGGGCTGACGACTTGGCTACGCAGCGGTCGTCACAGGGTTATACCTTTAGCCTTGGCTCCGGCTCTGTTTCTTGGCGGTCTACCCGCTCGTCTTCTGTTCTCAGCTCCAGCTGTGAGGCTGAGATCTACGCAGGGACCATGGCTTCACAGGAGTTACGGTGGCTCACCTACCTGCTGCCGCCTCGTTCTCCTCCAGTGCTGTACGTCGACAACAAGGCCATGATTGCCTTGTGTCAGGAGCACAGACTGGAGCACAGAACGAAGCACATCGCTCTGCGCTACTTCCTTGCTCGAGAGTTGCAGCAGCGTGGTCAGCTTCGTCTTGCTTACGTGGCCACTCAGGCCAACACTGCTGATATCTTCACCAAGGCACTTCAGCCTTGTGATCATCAGTGTTTCTGTACTGTTCTAGGCCTAGTGCCCACTGGGCCTCACTTGCTTACTTCTTGACTTTGCCTGTACTGTGATCTCTATACATATACCTGCATGCTTACACTTACTAGGTTGTGATCACTGTATTGTTTGTTCTCCTTTATATAACTCTGCATGTGAACTGGCCTTGTGGCCATTTGCTTGTGCTCAGAATGCGTGGTGACGTCGTGATCCACCCTGAGCTTGCTTTGCTTTTCTTGACTGGTCTTGTGACCTCTTGTTCTCCCCCACTTTGCCTATGGGGGTGTGTCAAACTTATATGCTATAGTATGTGTAGGCTGTAGTGGGGTAGTTCATATGGGGTACAACACTTCTAGGTTTTCCTACTTGTACACACCTGCTTGCTAGTTCATCCATTTTTCCTCGTTTCTAGTTTTAACAGCTGAGGCAAATCCGGGCGCCAGAAGGGAGGCGGAGCACCCCTCAAAGAAGGAGGGGCTAGGAGAGCCACGGGAGGCAGCTACAGCGCGGGCATTGGTCTCAGCCTCGAGGAGACGGGTCTCAAACGAGGCAAGGGTGAGCTCAGTGGGGTCTAGGGAGAGGAAATGGTCTCGAACGGTGCGAAGAGAGTCAGGTAGGCGAGTCGTGAGGAAGTAGAGAGTGAGATACATGGGGGGCTGGTTCCCAACCAGAATGGTTGGCCGGACAGCAGCACGGTAGCGGGTGTCAAGGGAGCGCAGGTGAGACGTGAGGTCAGCTACAATGGTGAAGTCAGACAGCTCAGGGAAGAGAAACGGCAGCGCAAGACGGCCTAGGGTGGCAGCAGAGGGGGAGGAGTAGCGTCTAACCACAGCGTCGTAGAGAGCCTAGGCCGACGTCACCTGGCGAAAGTGGGCCCTCTGGTCGAGTGGCAGGTGAGCACGGACAGCAAGCCTAGCGGTGGCGTCGCGTGCCATCCACCGTGTGCAGGTAGCGCGGTCAGCCCGGTACTGCTGCTGCACCTCCTCCCCAGCGTCAGTAGCAGGCTCAGCTGGAGTCGCAGGGACTATAAGGGATCCCGAGGTGTGCTCGAACAGCGAGACGTCGTCACTAGTGACACTCTAGAGGTACAGGTGTAGGTCCTCTAGCCAGGACACGAACTCTATAGGGTGCCCCTCTGCGTCAAACTCTAGTGCACTGACGGTCATCATGGCAGGGGGCGCGATTTAGTGGTGGCGGGCCGGGAAGTGGGTGGTGGCCGGAGGCAGCGCAGACTGCGCACCCAGGCGGCGCCAGGGCAGTAGCAGCGCACGGACTGCAGCAGTAGCGCAGCGTGCGCGAAGGACAGCACATGGCGCGCGCGAAGGGCATTACGGGGCGCGCGCGTAGTGCAGCGCGGGCACGCGAGAAGGGCAGCACGGGGCGCCCGTGTAGGGCAGCGCGGGGCGTGCGCGAAGGGCAGCGAGGGGCGCGCGCATAGGGCAGCGTGGGGGCGTGCGCGAATGGCAGCACGAGGTGCGCGTATAGGGCAGCGCGGGGCGCGCGCGAAGGGCAGCACAGGGCGCGTGCGAAGGGCAGCACGGGGCGCGCGTTTAGGGCAGCGCGGGGCGCATGCGAAGGGCACCACAGGGCGCGTGCGAAGGGCAGCACGGGGCGCGCACGCAGGGCAGCTCGGGGTGCGCGCGACGTGCAGCACAAGGCGTGCGCGTAGGGCAGCACGGGGCGCGCGCGGGCAGCAGGTGCGCGCGGGCAGCACCTGCGCGCGGGCAGCAGGGGCGCACAGGCAGCAGGCGCTCGCAGGCAGCACGGGCGCGCGGGCAGCTATCGCGCGCGGGCAGCAGGCGTGCGTGGGAAGAAGGCGCGCGCATGCAGAAGGGGCGCGCAGGCACCAGGCGCGCGCGGCCAGTAGGGGCGCGCGGGCAGCAGGCGTGCGCAGGCAGCAGGCGCGCGCAGGCAGAAGGGGCGCGCGAGCAGCAAGCGCGCGCAGGGCAGGGCTGCGCGTAGACATAAGGGGTGCGCGAGGCAGGGCAGCGCGCGACGCAGTGGCGCACTGGGTAGGGCGCGCTGGGCAGTTACGGGCCTAGGATATAGGATCGATCCTAACCTAGCGTATGACACCATGTCAAAGATGTGAACAGTGGAATGAGAATGACTAGCAGAAATGAGATACAAGTAGTGAACCCTAAATGGGTTGTACCCTCTAGAGTGTACCTCACTATAGCCTATAACCTAACAAATGTATGTTTTGACAGTGTTGTGCGAATGGATCGCTAAGTCGGCGGCTTATAGCCAGGAATCTCGCAAGAGGCCCCCTGCGCGGTTTCGAACTTCAACGAAATCATCGCCCTCACAAAAAAAATCGACATTTTACGACGACTGAGAACGGGGTCCTATCACTACGGACAACGCACTCGGGGAACGACCGATTGCCCCGCGGTACACGTAGTTGCGACGAATGCAGCTGTTACACCACTCCGAGGACGATGCTTCGCTTGCAACAGGCTGGGCCACCACAATAGTGAGTTCCCTGAGGAGCAGAAACGCCGAGGAGCAGAGCAGGGAAGAGAGTCAGGGAGGCAGGGAAACGCCAGCAGTCAGTAAAGTACGGGCCTACTACTAATGAGACTCACTGCTCGTCCGACCCAACTGACCCTCACCGAGTAACAATACTGATTCACGCAATCGAGCCGGCTCGGCTGAATAAGGAGGGTACATCGACAAATAGTCAGTATTGATTTACAGAAAAATGTGCATTTTTTCCCATGTATGGCATATTCGGCCATGGAGCGCCCTTTTCGTCACTTTGGGACGTCTTGTCTCCACACGCTCATACAACATTCGCGCCGCTCATCATGGACGCACGCAACCCATACGAGAATCACCCACGTCTGAGAGTGCTGAGGATTCAGCGAACCAAGAAAAAGCGCTGAGAACCCTGTTTCATTGCCCCACCATGCCCCCTTCGAAACCGCCACCTGGAATTGGGCATCTCGTTGCCATCTCAATCATCGAACAAAGCCCCCACCCAAACACCCCCACGTCTCTGCTATTAGAGGAGTGAAATGCACACCCCTAAATTGCCGGAGCATGGTACATTAAAGCTGCGGTCTACATTCATCGAGGTATTTTCCGGGGTTATTTAGGATGCACACCCAACGACGCACGCTGATTTGCTTACGAATGACCCGCTTCCAGTATCAGTAGGTGCGAGGGAGTCAAACAGAACTGGCGAAATCCGCCAGTTTCGTGATTTGGTTCGGTTGGGAAACAACCCTCGGCGACTTCGCGATAATTTCGTGAGGTTGTGTTGGGGAGGGGATTGGCGAAATTAATTAGCCAATCATGAGCAGGGAAATTACAGGCGGGGGTTGTGTTGTCAAAAACTCGGAAACACACCTCGCCACTGAAGCGGAAGGCTACCTGGTTTTCAAGTGATAAACCAGAGCCTCTCCCGCCAGGTATGTAGACGACAGCTTTAATCAGCCATCGTCCGCTTGTCCCGTTCTTTTCGCAATAGTGTCCACGACGCTGACCTCAAGCTCATGAGCCTCACCCTCCACCGGCCTCCGAACCACGACATCAACCCTCTTCCCCAACAGCAAGGTGTCGTCCATAGTCACACCCACCCCCTCCCCCTCCCCCCCCCCCCCTTTCTCCCCCCTCCCGCACCCCTCTCCCGACCATTTGGCTATCCTAGCCTCAGCAAGCTTGACAGCGTCGTGTACCGTGAGGGGGAATTTTGGTGCTTGCAGCGCCGAGCGTGATGAGGGTCCGACGGGTCCACGAACTCCACCCCACAGACGCATCTACGAGCCACCATCAGCTGCTGAATAGGTGAGCCGGGCAGCACATACGCGGCGATGCCCCGCTCGGACGGGGTAAATGTGGCATCGCCATATGCCGCCACAATAGTTACACACGCTCCAACCAACGGACCATGAAGGGATGTCAAACGAGCCATGTATGTTTGTGAACACAGAAATTTCACATGAGTATCATTCGATAACAGAGACCTTCCCTTGCTAAAACACTTATTGGCCACTATCGTTTGATTTACACTTATTGAACTGTTTCGTATCGGCTTGTAATACAAAACTAATCGTTGCAATACCTTGAAACGGAGTGCTTGCTACAGAGTCCACCCATGAACTGTTCGCGCCTGCTGTGGCACTGTTTGCTTCGCACGGAGCCCTCCGCCACGGGCAAGTCCATCACTTCTCCCCCTCCACCCCCGCCACATCCAGTGCTCCCCCCAATCCCCCCATGCTTCCTCCCCGTATTCATGCGCACACCTTCACCGGCTCCCCCTTTCTCCTACATTCGCGTTCCGCCTGTCCCAACCTGCCACTGCCCGAGCATTCCCTTCCCTTCCCACCCTCCCCAGCTTATGACTCGAGCGGGGATTGACTCGTCCTCCAGAATAATCCTCGCTTTGTGAAGCGCCTCGGTTCCGCGCATTGAGCAGCAATGGTGGCGGCGGAGTGCGCGCCGCAGTTCCGCGAGTTCCAGTGGCTGCCGGAAACCGCCAAGGCGCTCATCGCCGCGTCGCTCTCTCCTAAGGATGCCGTCTCGCTCGCTCTCACCTGCAAAGTGCGTCTCTTTTTCCGCGTTTTCCGTTTTTGCCGCGTTTGCCGCTGTTTCCGCTTCTGCATCAAGGAATCTCTTCGTTACACCCGCTGCACTCGGCAAATCTCTTGGAGCACATAAATATTCCGCGCTCATCCCCCCATCACGTGCCCCACACCCCCACCCAGTTGAGAAGCGCCGTCGCATCGCTCGTCCATCTCAGCACGGCATGGACATGCGTGCTCCTTGTTTCTCACTCAGATCCCTTTGCGCCGCCCCTCCGCCGTGCTGTCTCCTCGTCGCCCCTCCGCTCCCTCCCGCCCCTCGCCTCTTTTTCGCTACAGTGGAGAGCACCGCGTCGCCTGAAGCCACGCGCTAAGTTTCGATCCTCTCTGCACCCGATTGTGTCCCTTCCTTGGTCTCCCCCCATCATTCGGTCCGCCACGTCTCCCCGCGACTCGCCCATGCCCCGCAGGACCTCCGCGGCATAGCGCGCCCCTTCACGGCCCGCGAGTTCGCGTGCAAGGCATGCGGCGCGCGCCTCTTCTCCCCGCGCGCCCTCATCCCCTGCGCCACCCGCCCCCCACCGCCTCCCCCCGCGCCGCCTCTCTCCCCGGCGGGCGCCTCATTGCGCAGCAGCAGCTGCGCATCCCCCGCCGTCCTCCTGTTTCCGCCCGACGGCTCCGCAGCGCCGCCAGCGGGCGCGCCGTCGGTGCCGCTGCTGCTGCTGCTGGACGATGGCGCGGCGGCGTGCGTGCAGGGGGGCGAGGTGGGGGAGGGGGGGGCGATACGCGCCCTGCACTCCAACGTGCCCTTCATCGCCGTACCGCGCCTGTGTAAGCCGCGCCTGTGTAAGCCGCGCCTGTGTAAGCCGCGCCTGTGTAAGATGCTCGTGTTGCTGCGTGCGCGTTCGTCGCAGTCGTCCATGGGATGCCGCAACCATTCCATGCCATTGCATACTTACCTTCCTTCCTTCCTTCCTTCCTCCCGTCCTTCCTTCTCCTCCCCGTCCCACCCTTCCCCACCCCGTCCCACCCTGTCCCATTGCGTGTGCGCGCGCGGCAGCGTGGGGGCGGGCGTGCGCGCATCTGATGGACGCGGCGACGCTGCACTGCGCGCGCTGCCTGCTCTTCCTCGGCATCCAGGTCCGCACCGTCTTCCCCCGCCTCGCCGCCTCCCCCTCCCCTCCCTCTTCCGCCTCCCCCTCTCCCTCCCCCGCCCTCGCCTCGCCTGGCCTCAGCGCCGCACCCCCTCCCCGCGCAACCACCGCCACGGCAGCGTCTCCCGCTCCCCTCGCCGCCGCTGCTGGTGCCCCGTCCGCTCACGCTCATGGCACGGCCGCGGCGGGTGTAGCAGGCCCAACAGGCGCAGCAGGTGCAGGCGCAGCAGGTGCAGGCGCAGTAGGGGGTGCGGGGCAGCAGCAGGGGCTGTACGCAGCGGAGGCGAAGGCGTTCCTGGTGCGCAAGTACCTCGACCTGCTGCGCCCTGCCTCGTACCGCGGACTAGCCTGCGCAGCCCCACCCCCAGCAGAACCTTTAGCAGCAGCGGCAGTGGGAGAAGCGGCAGCGGCAGTGGGAGGAGGGCAGGGGCGTGTGCAGGTGTATGCGGACGGGCTGTCAGGCGAGGGGGATGGCAGGCACGCTGTGCTGTGCTCTGGACGGCGGGGCCACGTGGGTGGGGGCAGTGGCGCGCAGGGCAAGGCGCCGTGCCTGAACGTGCTCTTCCACTCGCACCAGGTACCTTCTCATCTCAGTACACTCGAGAGGGCCGCAAGGTTACCACATGGCTGTGGGTTCACGGGTTGGGTGGTGAATGAGGGCAGGGTGCTGGGAACAGGCGGGTGTGGTGGAATGGGGTGCCTTGCACGTATACAGCCACTAGATGCTTCTCCCTCTTCCTCTTGACAAGCATGGAAGGAGTGCTACTAGTTCTCCTCCCCGTCCGTCTTCCCTTCTCACCCGCACTTCCCTTCTCCCTGCCCCCCTTTTCCAAACCCCCCATGCCCACCTCTCCCCCCCTTCATCCCCATGACGCACGGGGCGTGGCGGGCAGGTGCTGAGTGCGAGGCACTGCTGGGACGCGGGCAGTGGCACGGAGGTGGCGGTGTACTGCAATGCGCTGCACCCGGGCGCCTTCCTGCTCGCCCCGCCACGCACCGAGGAGCTCGCACAGGGCGCCATGCAGGTCGCTGACGTGGCGTGCGCCAGGTGCCGCGCGCCGATTGGGTGGAAGTTCTGCTCGCTTGGGGGGCATGGCACGGACCTGAGGAATCTGAACCAGGTGAGGGGAGGTGGGAGGGGGGAATGGGGACGGGAGGGAGGAAAGGGAATCGGGGAAAGCGAAGGGGAGAAGGGTGAGGAGAGAGGGGAGTGGAGGAAAGGGAAGAGTAACCACGAAACATAAATGTGTGACTTGATGTGGTTTCCATTGGTTTCAGAAGGGTGACAGCGCCAGTGCCGTTGCTGCTTGCAGGTGGGCAGGTTCGGCATCGTGCTGTCATCCATCCACCGAGGCAAGGAGTTCCTCCCAGCCTGGAGGGCTGCTTCGGTGTGGGAGGACTCAGAGGAGTATGAGGACGAGGAGGAGGAGGAAGAAGAGGAGGATGAGGAGGATGAGGAAGAGGAGGAAGAGGGGGAGGGGGAAGATCCGTGTCTGGTAGAGGATGGGGGAAGAGATGGAGTGATGGGGGAACGAGAGGAGGGAGGTAGCAGTGGCAGTAGCAGCAGTGGAACCAGTGGTGCCAGCAGTGGCAGCAGCAGCAACAGCAGCGGCGGCAGCCATAGCAGTAGCAGTGGCAGTGATGGAGCAGGCATGGGGAGGCAGAGGGGTGAGAGGAGTGGGAGGTGTGTGTGGAGTGTGAGGGCGCTGTCTCGCATCTGCCGCTACCACACAGCGGAGTAGCACCTGCTGCGAGCGCCACTCATCCACACCAGCTGGAAGCAGCCTTGTGCACGACTGGGTGCCAATCCAACGGGCTTTCTTGGCTGCACTTTGTATATAAATACGTATCCTGCTGGTGACCTTGTGAGGGGTGTGTTGGTGTGTGTATGTGTGGCTGTGGATGTGTCTGTTTTCGTATGTGTAATATGGGGATACCGGTACATTGTTCTTCCGTGTATGTGGGTGAAGGTGAAGGGTGTGCTTGTTTTTCTTCATCTCCAGTGTGCTGTGCAGCTCAATGTTTGTCCTGCCTTCTATATGTACAGTAGCTGGTCTTTCAGCAAAACCGGACATATATACAGTGTACAAACTTGTTGCATAACCTGTGCTGACACCTAGTGTACCCTTGCTGTCTACTCTCAACCTTTATGTACACTTGTACCTCTCCCACCTGCTGTAATCGCTGCCGCAGCTCACAGCCAGCCCAATCCCTTGCCTGGGTGCCTCATCCCCTTGCATCTTTCCCACCCCCACATAATACATCCAAAGGATGCCATCCGGGCGGGCAACCACATAAGGCGCCCCCACAAGGATGTTATCCCACGCCTCCTCCCCTCTCCTCGCCTTCAACACTGGTCCACCTGGCTCGGGCCCTGCACCAATGGCCTTGTGCCACGTCAGCCCACCGTCATCTGATGTGGCAAGGCCAATGGCAAATTCGTTGTTGCTGTTGCAACCTTCATATAGCATGATGAGGCGACTGCTTGCTGCAGATCTCTCAGCTCCTTCCGACTCTACCGTGGCTGACCCAACGGTATCAGCAACAACAGCTTCAGCAGCAAGCCCATCTATGCTCCGCCCTGCTTTGCCAGCTGGCACTGCCACAACACTGCGCACAGACACTCCCTGCTCATCCCACAACCCTGGGTCCCCCCCAGATAGCACCTTCCCCAGTCGCTGCCAGGACTTGCCACCATCGCAGGACACAGCAGCACCAGCAGCGTAGCCGGCCTTCCCCTGCTCATCCTGCCCGCGTGTGTGGTAGGTCATGAGCCATATGTCACCTGCAACAGACGGGTCTGCCTTAACACGGTGATCAATGCTGCTGCCAAATTCAACAGCAGCAGCAGCAGCAGCAGCAGCAGGAGACGCCTGTGGAAGCTGGACAATACGAGGCCAGGACACACCAAACTGATCCCACTCCCCCCGTGCACCCTTTCCCAACACAGGCCTCTCTGATCTGACGTTAAAGTGCACTCCATCTCGCGACCACGCTGCTCCTATTTGAATCTCCGCGCCCTGTGCTTTCACTCCGGGCAGTCCAGGCAGGTCAACAGGTTTTAGGCTGCCCCCAGAGTACAGCATGCACCATTCTTGCTGCCCGTTGGTGCTGATGCTGGTACTGTCCACAGCTGCTGCAGCAATGCTGGTATCAGCATCACTGGAGCATGATGCGGGGTCGTCAATGGCACATGCTGAGTCATCATCAGCTGAATCCGACTCATCACCAGCAACATGTTCTGGATTCCAAGCACGGAAAACGTCACCAACTGCCACGTGGACACTGTCAAACGCCTCGTCAGACTGAGCGGGATCCAGCACAGCACCGCCAGGTAACGGCCCTCTCACACGTTGCCACGTCACGCCGTCCCTGCTGACGGCAAGCCCCACCCGGCCAATCGGCACAGGCAGCGCTTTAACCCCTTTCGCCCAGTCATCGCCATCCCTCCCATAGTAGTACATCCGCCATAGTCCAGACTCCGCGACCACGTTCCAATCAACCTGCACCCCAGGATCAGGCGAGTCAAGGAGAAGGTCAGGTTCCCCTTGAGACACTGACTCGTCGCTTAGGACGTGCACTGGCGCCACGACCACAGGGCCCGAGAAGCATTGGGAATCCCACAAGTGCACATCAGCAGGGGGCGGTTCGAGCACACGGCCGAGCAGAGCGCGTTGATCGCTCGCACCGGCGCCCGCGGCCGCCGTGGTCGCTGATCGCGGTGCTTCGGAGGCGCCTGAAGCGTCGGCGCTGGCGCCACTGGCGCGAGCCATGGTGGAAGGGCGTACGCCCGCCAGATTTGACTGAACCAGTGTCGTTGTATCGCGTCCGCGTGTAGCGCGGGTCGCGGAGGGGAGAGGAAGGCGTAGGGGAGTGAGAGGGCGGGTTTCGTGCAGCGAGCACGCGCAGGCTGCCACCGACCTCCGCGTGTGGCAGCGGCGACCGCGGCCAGCACTAGTAGAAGGGTCTTTGCCGCAACGGTAAGTCGGACGAAATGTAAGTCTTGAGCGAGAGACGGATTGAGAAAGGGGGACAGAATTCCACTTCCAGCTCAGTTCCGTGACTGCAAGGCCTGCCATCGTTTGTTGTCCTGCTCGACGTACAGGAGGAGCGCCATTTGTAGTGCGCGGGACTCGTGCGAATAAAGAACGAAAAATAAAAGCTACCCGCCCATTGAACGCCTATTCTCCCTCTCCTCCGCGCGTTGACACGAGTCATGGCTGGGAGCCGTGCACGACGATGACTTCCGACACTTCGACACTTTCTTGGACGAGACTGATGATGTCTGCTGTCTCTCAAATAGCTGATTGACATGCTTCAAGGCCAATGACCGTCACAGAAGAACTCGTTTCACGACAAGTCGATTAAACTTTTCAACATATAGTACCATTATCCTTTGTATGTTATGAGCTGTAATGTGTAATGTCGTTTTCAGAAACGTCCTCTACAAGCTAGTATTTTCAATCCCGGATGATATTGACAAGTAAAACAAATCGTAGCGTTTAAAATATAATGATCAAATATGTGTACCTGGATAACTTCTCCCGGGGATGTGAAATGTTTTGAGTGATTATATATTGAGGGGGACGAGTGAATATAGCAGTGTAAACGACGTGGTGCCCTCAAAAGAGGAACCTGTAACGAGAAATGTCGTGGATGGCGGTATGCCCACGTGGCTAATAGAGCAGCACAAGAACATGCTGATCTCAAAAGAAGCATGAAGACGTGTCAAATGAGTGTTCGCCAGTCTAGACTACACACTCCAGATGCGTCGGCATCCAATTTGGACCACTTAGCGCTTGCAACGTGGAAATACAACTTCGATGTCACTTTCCCTGGAAACTGGTCTGGCTCGGCCCTCCTTCCCCTCGCACTTTCGCCTGCGCCTACATCGTAAGCCAGCCCCACGTCACTACACCAACGGAAATGAACCTCCTTGAAGGTGGCATCTCGTGGCGCGGCAAACTCCAGCTTGGCCCCCAAATCTCTGAACTGTGAACCATCAACACATCCAACAAAACCAACGGAAACCAGAACGTACCTCAGGCGTGTCTGGAGGAGTAACATTTGCCAAACATCACGAGCAAGATCGTACTGGATGAACGTCCCAAGTACGATGAACGTCCCACATGTGCCACCGTGTACTTGCAATGTGTGAATAATCCCTTGGATGACCCTTGATTGACTCGATGAGCCTCATTCCGTTTGCACTACAAAGCTGCTGCACCAGCTCAGAACAAAGAAACACCATTCCCATCACCCCATCCTCCTACCCATCAACCTGCGCATTCCCCCCACCCTGAACGCCGTCTTCCACCCACCTTCAGCAGCCATGGCCGCGGTCGTAGTCGCCCTTCCCACGGTCGCGTGCTTCGCAACAGCTTCCGCGGGGAAGAAAGCGGTTCCTTGCAAGGCCGCTCATGTGGCCGCTCTGCCCGTCTTCCGCTCTACAAGGAGCACTGCGCAAAGGCGTGGCGCGGCTCTTAGAGTGACGTGCAGCAGCAACAAGCCCGAGGCGGTGGTGGCTGAGAGGGTGGAGAATGCGGCCGAGCAGGAGGCGTTCCTGGCGTCGGGCTTCTTGGAGAAGGCGATGCTCATGTCGGCTGCCGCCATGACGCCGCTTCTGCTCAACGTGCAGGTGAATAGCAAAGGCTTCCTTGTCGCAGTTGCTCGCGTTACGTTTCTGCGTAACGGTCAGCTGGATTTGTGCGTGTTTTTCAACATCCGAGTTCATCTTAAGTAAAATGGAGAGAAAATAAAAATGAATGGATGGACAGTAGTGGATGGGTCCGTGTGGAGCACCACGTCAAGGTAATGCCTCAATGTAATGGTCAGGGCTCGTCGACTGTGAGGCAGACTGAGCTTGCGGCATTCTGCACGCACTTTCGCTGCTCGATGTTCCTCTTATCCGACCCACAGCCTCTGGGACGGGTCACTAGCTCCACTGCTGTTCTATTTCTCCTCGCCTCGCCGTCGTCTCGGCCCTCGCTCTCCTATCCCGTTTCTCGGTTCTCTCTGGTTCTTTCTTTTCGAAATTGTTCAAGATCCCACTTCAATATAACTGATTCCATAACGCGCACTTGCATTGCCTCCTCCCCCACCCGCGAGAGCAGGACGCGATGGCCGCCGGCGGCGAGTTTGGCCTCCTTGAGGGCCGGACGGCGGCGCTGGTGCACCCGTTCGTGATGGGCGGGCTGTTCTTCACGTCGCTCTACGCCTTCTACCTGGGCCGCCAGTGGAAGCAGGTCCGCGTCGTCGGCGAGAAGATCCAGGACCTCAAGAAGCAGCTCCCGGCTGCCGAGGAGGCTGCCGCCGCGTCGCCGGTGTCCGGCGAGATCGCCACGCTCACCGCGGTGAGTGGACTCTCGCGGCCTTGTCGCGTCACATCTGTCGCCGGTTTTTTCTCGCGCGTCTGCCGTTTACGCACCACTCACTTACGGCGAAAGCTTCCCACGTTGCGTATGCATTGATACATAACGAATGCACATGTCGACGTGCCCTAAAGGTCGTCATTGCTTTCATGCGCATACATTTCAGAATCTGCCCATTGATGATGTTGCGCAAGCCGCGTGCCTTCGCAATCGCACAGCTTTAGCATTCACGCATTTGTCCCATCGAAGCGCAGCCCACAACTTCCTATCCCGTCGCTCCCCCTTCCTCTCCCCTTATCCTCGTCTTCACGATCGCTCCCTACATTTCCTTCCCCCGTTGCTCCCACTCCCTTGTGGCACGGCGTGGCAGCAACGCGCGGAGCTGGTGAAAGGCAACTACCGCGAGAAGCACTTCAACGTGGGGTCGCTGCTGCTGGGCTTCGGCGTGCTCATCGCCGTGGAGGGCTGCGTCAACACCTGGTTCCGCACCGGCAAGCTCTTCCCCGGCCCCCACCTCTGGGCCGGCGCCAGTAAGCCACGCTGCACACCCCTTGCCCCGCACCCCTCTTGCCCCATGTTTCCTTCTCCCATCCTGCCCTCAGTACTTTCCCATGGCACCTCATCCTTCAATTGATTTCTCCAACTGCTTTCGAATCCTTGCGCAATCCCCCCATCCGCATCACTTCCTCTTTAGCCTCAATCCCTCTTCTCCGCCTCCGCCACCCCGCCCCCGTTCCTCCCGCCCTCCGCCAGCCATCACGGTGATGTGGGCGCTGGCTGCGTCACTGGTCCCGGCGATGCAGAAGGGCAACCCGGTGGCGCGCAAGGCGCACGTGGCGCTCAACATGCTCAACCTAGCGCTCTTCGTGTGGCAGATTCCCACTGGCCTGGAGATTGTCGGCAAGGTCTTCGAGTTCACCTCGTGGCCTTGAAACGCTGCTAGTCGCTTTCGGCACCCCATAAATGGTTTTTTATATGAAAGAAGCTAGACCTGTTCTAATTTTGGGAGCCAAAAAGCCGATCCATATACCGTACTTTCTGCAGAGATTCAGTTTCCCAGCATAATTACCGGTGTGGTGATCGGCTGACGTCATTGGTCTGAATCCAAAGTTGGTAATTAATCTACAGAGAAAACAAATTGATAGCAGCGAAATGAATCCTACATCCTTTATGGCTCAATATCAACCCTACATCCTCTATGGCTTCCTATCTAAGCTCAAAGCTTTCAACACAAGAGCTAGCTCTAATGAGAAACACACTTCCCTGCCCCTCCCTAGTCTGTCTGTTACAGCATGCTTATCTTCCCATGGCATGTTGGGAGTGACCAAACGGCTGCTCCTTCACCTGAGGAGCAATCACACTCTGGTCATAGCCTGATGGGAACTTCTCCTTGCTGTATGTCCCCACCAGGTGGCCCCCCCCCAGCAAATGCCCTTCCATTGCCTCCTGCAGCTTCTCTTTGGTGATCTGCCATCAAGCATGCCATGCAGGAGGTAAAGACGAGTTGCCACGTGATGAGCTGACGGTAACACGTCCAGCAAAGATTGCAATTGTACCGCAAAACTGCCAGCCAGCTCAAAAGGGGCAAACACACAGTACCTAGGTGTAACGGGTCGCCTGTGACATTCGCACCCAATCACCCACCTTGCCCATGTGGATACGGCAGTCCAGCGCATACACAGCGATGTCGTAGCGGTGTGTGCCAGTGGGCGGGTTCGGCCCGCGGTAGTGAGGCTGCTTGAAGTCGTTCACACCTTCCTGAACGCCCTCGTACCGCGGGTCATTCGCATGGTCCTTGGTTGAAAATCCGGCAGGGAGCCCTGCAAGGTAAAAAATCAGCAGGGAATACTCGAAATCGAAAACGCTGTTAGAATACAGGGATTCAGAGCGTGGGGGACGACGCATTAATGCACGAAATCAAAGCTGAGTTGGGAAGTGAAGGGTGCGAAGTGTACAACTTGCCTTTCAGGCTGGGAGGAATGTTCGCCACCACCCTGTTCACCACCACCACATGAGAATAGGCCAAACGCACAAAGCACGTCAAACGCACAAATTGAGTTCAATAAACCTTAAAATAAAAAATTAACGAAAGAAAGAACGAAAATAGTAAACTGGTCCAACCAGGAGGGCAAAGGTTCATAATCATTGGTTCCGCAAGCCACTGACCAGTGCGTGAAGGGAACAATGGGTGCCTCTGGGTCCGGAGCGTCGATGTCCTCCATCACAACGGCGAGCGTCTCCGTGCCCTCGGGCACGTCGTGCCACTCAATGGCGGGCGACAGGTCGTGGTGCTGCACGGACCCGTCGCCCGTGCACTGCCTTGGGAAATGCCCGTCCTTGCCCAGGCTCGTGGACGTGATGTAGAAGCTCTCCTCCTGGTCAGCGACGCCGTACGCCTCCTGGGCCTTGCGGAACTTTTCCGCCGTGTCTCTCTGCTTGTGGGTCGTCTTCATCTTCATCGTGGACATGATGGAGGCAGCAGCTGGGGTCTTCCTGAGAGCAGGACGCAACTAGCTGAGAAATTCACGAAACCAGAAAAGAAAGAGGCACGCGACCAAAAAGGAAGGAAATAGCTGAAGCATACGAGGGAGGATGATAGCCTCAGACTGGCAACGCAGCACTCTGACAACGGGTAAGTGTAAGTTTTAGCGAACGGGTTGCTGACGACGAGAGGGCAAGGGGAAATGGTGTCCATGCGGCTTGCGAGAAATTGAGGCTGTGCGGTCCGACTGATGGAAAGGTAATTCCTTGTTCGCACGATAGGTTGTGAGCTTGTACTGTAGTCATGCCACGTGGTGGCAGCTCGGGAATGGCAAACACTTCCTTAGCGAAGACGAACAATCACCAGAAAAATAAGATGAAGCACTGGGTGTATTTTAGAGTATTGTTACAATATATAACGCCTGTCTCATTATTTACAGCATTAGCATCGAATGTCTCAGTCTTGCACATCTAACATAATAAACAATAAAATTAAACATATTGAAGATGCTTATGATATCATTCTGTTTTCTGCACTCATTTGCGTCAGCTCAGTATATCTGAATACGAATATTTATCGATGTAGACATAGTAGAAAAGCCGGGTCCCTATAATATCGCCTCTGCTACCAGCGCACCAAAAAATATTAGGTTGCTATCTCAAATCTTGTTGCTTCCAGACCATTCCAGACTTTTCGAGACCTTCCCAGCGAGTGCTTCAGCTGCTCGCGTGCTCGTCAAGGCCACGCTTCGCCTCCTCCTGGTGCCATCCAGATCCTTCAAGGGAAAACTGAAAGTTCAGTGAATTCCAGAACGGCGCATCCGCTTTCCATTGCACAGGTATATAAATGACGAACTGGAGTCATTGTCTTATCAAGCTTTCAACCAACAGAAACTAAATACGCTCTTCGCCTTCTAGCGCTCACAATCTTTCAGAGTCCTGTGCTGCAACCTCTTCATTCAAAGGTTCTTCTCCGCAAGCAAGCGAGCGCCATGTGTCTCTTCTTCATCGAGGTCAGCAGTCCCGACAACCCCTGCGGTGTGAAGGTCGTCGGGCCCGCTCTCGGGCTTGTCGCCATGGCAGTCGCCGCTGTGGTCGCGTGGCCCGTCGGAGCGATCGCATGGCTATGCGATGAGAAGGCTGGACGCCAAATAATGGCTCTGCCCGTCTATACAGTCTACCCTGCTGTCAACAGCGCCATTCCGTTCTGAGTTGTTCGGATTGGCGAGACATGTCACGCAGCTGACGTCCATGGATTCCTGGTACTAGTTAAATGGGGTGACCCTCCTTCAGATAACTTATTAGGAGCTAAAACCATCCGTACAATCGTGTGTACATCATTGTATATATTGCGTTGTCTTGGCTTGTCGGATCGGTGGTGGATCCGTCATGGTAAACTCCACCAGAAATTATTTCAGCTGTTGAGACCGCTATGTCATGCCGTATCAACATGATTGTACCATAGTAGCCCTCGCTTCCATAGCAATCCAACGTTTGTGAAATTCACTCCGAAAACGACACAACATTTGCACTTTCCCATGCTTTTGAGGCTCAAATCAATCATCCTGTCACCAGCTGCCACGTGGACTCACCATTTGCTGCATGGACGGGGGTAAACGAAAATTGAAGGGATTGAAATTGAATAGACGCTGTCTGACGGACACAGGAGAACAAGCACTCGTGTCCTTGTTTCCTCGAGTTGGTCGCACAACACGCGCATGTCATGCGATATAACTAGAAGCAGACTGCATTGCAACTCTATGCGATACGCTGGAATAGATGGCGAGCGACAGCGGCGCGATGGTGCATGCTGGTCTAGGGCGATGTGCCAGCCTAGCGACGTGGAATGGCGTTCCACGTGGTCACACCCACCCCGTGCCGCTAAACACGAACCATCACCAGGCTCGTTCTCTCTGCCGTTTCTCCCTCTGTGAGGAGGCAGATGCGCGGTTCTCCTCCCTCCCAGCCTCCAGCCCGTGGACGACTCGCCCATCCACCTGCATCAGCCAGCTCACAGACGTGTGTCTTACCGCGCCTGGGGCGTCGAGTAATCCGGCTGCTGTTCTCGCGTACCTTGCCCTTTTTTTCCCTCCCTCCTGCTGTTTCGGCGACCTTCAGGTCTGAGCACGCTCGTGTTCGATTCTTCGGCTTCCCTCCCCAATCCCCCGAGATTCTCTCCTAGATCTTAGGATCTTCCTGCGCTCGTTGCTTTCGCGGGTGATTAGATTGCAGAAGCGCGGTGTCGCAATTGGTCGCTGATTCATCTCTCAAGTCTAGTAGGAACACTCTTAGGAGGAAAACTTGTTAGCAGCTGAGCAAGAGGAGATGGCGGCGGCGTCGGGAATCAGCGAGCGCGGCATGGCACCGGCGATGCGAAGCGGCGCGGACGGCGTGTTCCACTTCGTGATCCCCGTGCGGCCGCTGGCGGGGCAGATCTCCATGGAGCACCTCGAGCGCCTCTCCGTGTACAACTCGCTCTACGGCGCGCGTGAGTGCAGTGCGCATGCATGCATGAGGCTGCGCCCATGTGCGGGGATGCCAGCATGCGTGCACGCCTTTGCTTCGTTTTTATATCCCTGTGAACAAGAGACTGAAGCTATGGATGCGTGTGATTGACTAGCTGGCTGCAACCTGTGTCTGGAAAATTTCGTAACTGTGTTAGCTGAGAAAGTCAGAACGCGTATGTTGGGGAGTCTGTAAAGCGTTCGCCTTGATTTCTTGTCACTGATGGACCGGCGATAAGTGGTTTCCATGGGGAACTGAGCACTGAGGGTGTTGCTTTGGCTGCCTCGCCTGCAGAGCTGTCATGGCTGCTTGCATGCAAGTGCCCCCTTCAGTCTGCCTGTCCAATCTCTGCCCTTCTTGTGAACCTCCCTCGTTTCCTTACCCTTCACGGTTTCTCTTGCAGTGTTCGTTGCAGCAGGGCTTGTGGCCATCCTCTTGCCTCTCATTTTCCCACTTTCCTTGGGTGTCGCCATCAAGACTCTTGGTACTGCACCCATCATGTCTTCCTCCACGTGCTACCTTCCTGTATTGGCTCTCACTTCCGTGTACATTCTTATGATTAAATCCACACCTTTTGGCATCCCTGCTCCTTTACCTTGTGCCACATGCTTTTGCCGTTTCCAATCCAGTCTCTGTTTCATGTCCGGTCTCTGTCTTGTAGCATTATCTTTCCCTCTCTCCACGCCCACCCTGATTGAAAACCCTTATCCCTCCTGCTTCTCCTTGCTCCCTTTCTCCCCTGTGCGTGCAGGGTGGGTGCTGCTGGTGGGAGGAGTGGTGACCTTTCTGCACTTCCTCTTCCTCTGTGGTGCACCTGGCACCGTCGCACTGCTCTTCCTCGGTCTCATTCACTTCGCCATTGGATTCTCCCTCGTCGCCGGCACGGGCCTTGTACAAGGCCCAAACGCTCTCCAGTTTATCCTCGCCGGCTGGTTCTTAGCTCAGGTAACCTGCTTGTACCAACGTATCAGTGCGGGGCCGCTCCTCTCCTCCTTTCTGTTCCTTGGCCCAGTTCATGTTAACAGAACAGATGTTCTAAGGCCTTGGCTCCAGGAAACCCACTTTCAGGCTCCTCTTCGCTTTCCTCTCTACCCTCAACCCACCTTTCCCCCAGGGCGTGTTCAAGAGCGCACTGGGTGTGTCGCTGCGCAGCATCTCCTCGTGGCCCATGGTGCTGCTCTCCGGCATGATCGCCATTGCTCTCGGCTTCGTGGTGTTCGCACAGCCACCGCAGTCATCGCAGAAAACGGAGCCAAGCGAGGACTTTGTGCGCCTGGCAGGGCTGCTCGTGGGCGTGGACCTCTTCATCACCGGCGTCAGCATGCTTGTCATCGCCCTCCTTTCTTCATGGGGTGAGTAACCTCACATGGCCTGGTACCGGGAGGGTCGCGCATGTCTATTTCACTGTCAGCTTGTTTGCCTACTGTGACTACACTGTTCGTGTCGCAACTCTGGTGCTGTACTTGTCCTTTTGCCCACCCTGTTGTCTCCCTTATCATTGCTGTCCACCTTTTTATTTCCCTCAGCTGTTCGAATGGTGGACGAGACAGAAGAACCACTGCTTGTTGGCCCTGTCTCTCCTTCGGGAGGTTCTTCTGTCTAAGCTCTACATTAGGCAACCAAGTGCTCCGCTGGAGCAGACTAGCTGTGTTCCCTGTTGGGAACTTGGGAGGTTGTCACAATTTGTGCATTGTCTTGGATTGGAGTAGTAGTTGAGGGAATTGCACTCTGCTGCCATGCAGGGGATTGTTGTGTTTCCCAGCTGGTGTCCTGCTCATGTGCTGCTTGTAAACGTGTGTGTAGTGTCGTTTTCCTTCCAACATTGCTCTATTTCTAAATAGAAGGTCTTCTTTTTTAGCATTTTATCCCACCCTCAGATTACATCCCACCCAGCATAGAATTCCCTTCACTCATTCAGTCACATAGGCGCTGCTTCATGATGTGTCATGTATGGGAAATTTACTGAGAATTATGACAAATTTTCTTACCGAGCAAAAGTCTCCGTGCAACTGTGTGGAACCAAAGCATTGCAGAGAAACGACTCTTGCTGGTACATAGGGACAGGTTCGGGCTGCAGATCTGCTCGGCTCGGGATCATCGTTCGAAACAAACCGGACTTCCCAGCCAGCCCTCAGACTAGCGATGCCGAAGCTGTCCAGATGTATTGCCCAATCAGAGGGGTGCCTTACCTCGCTCTGGCTCGGTATTCCTCCCTAAAGACACTCCATCATCGCCTCGTATCTCTCATGAAAGCAAACCCTAGTTTCCTTCCGCTTCCCCATACCATTGCAGCCAGCTTATCTCTTTCCCCGCATGAGTTGCATGGCTGCAGCTCATCACGCTCCTTGATGTCGCTGCAGAGAAGCCGACTCTGCAGAGTCTTCTCGCATTCCTTGCGGTGCGAGTGATGTGATTCACATCGGGAAAGATTTCGGAGTTGTTCCTGCTGTCGCAAACAGAGTGCATTATTCAGGATTTTATTCCGTCTCGTTGCCTCGTGCAATTAGCTCGGAGATTCCGGGGTCATGTATTCGTCATTGGTACTTTTCTTCCTGTTTCACCTAGCGGGTTTCAAGCTACCAAAACACGTGGACGATCGCGACGCGGAGTGGCCGATCGCGGCGCGGGGAGCGGAGGAGGAGCACAGCGGGGGAGGCCATTCGGACGATGAGAGGTCGATCGCGGGCGACTCGTGGTCCGTTAAGAGCGAGTATGGCAGCACGCTGGACGGCGACGAGGCGCGCACGGCGGAGATGATGTGCGGGACGACGATCGCGGAGGACTCGCAGCCGGGTGGAAGGTAAGACGCGAGTGCTTGCGCGACGCTGCTGCTCTCAGGCCGCTGTAGGGATTCAAGCATTGCTGCGGATTCGCATGTTTATCCCGGAGACAGGGCTGGCTCATGGATCGGTCACCGCGTTAACGATGCTCCTAGTCGATGACCGAGAGAGTGGCGAGTTGGCGAAAAATGATGTTACAGTGCGAGCGATGTTTTGCTCCCGTTCACCCTTCTGAGCATTCCTCATGGCTCCCGTTCATCCCATTCCTGCTATGCTCTACCCTGCCACGTGCCAGCAGTGCACCGGAGGAGAGGGAGCAGCAGGAGCTGAACGGGTTGCGAGAGCACGAGGGAGGCGCGGAGGGACATGTGCATGTTTCCGACCATTACCATCACCCTGAAACAAGGTCGCAGCAGCAGCAGCAGCAGCGCGTGGCGTACCAGCAGTCGCCGCTTCTCCGCGCCCGCGTTCCGCAATGGCTGGCCGCGCAGCAGCGGCAGCAACGGTGGCAGCAGGACGCGATGCTTGCGCTGCAACAGCAGCAGCAGCAGCAACAGCTGCAACAACAGCAACAACAACAACAACAGCAGCAGCAACCGCAGCAACAACAACAATTACAACCGCAACCGCAGTCACAGCAGCAGCAGCGGCAGCAGGCCCTGTCTTTCCAAATATGTCACCAGCACGGGGTTCAGAGCGCGTATACCCACCAGAGCAACTTGCAGGGGGAGCTGGGGGGGCTGAGCGGGCTGCTAGCGGGCAGCGCGCCGAGCGAGGGGAGCCTGGACGACCGAATATCGGATCTCGATGGCTGTGCTGGGGGCGATGGGGATGATGATGGGGATGATGATGGGGATGATGATGGGGATGAGGATGAGAATGGGGATCAAGATCGGGATGGGGCGGCGGGTATGCGGAATGAAGCAGGGGGCGATGGGTTAGGGTACGACGGAGGAGCGCCGAGCGCGGCAGGAGACGCGCCGGGGAGTGGAGCGGCGGAGAGGAGGGGGGGAGGATTGCGGGAGAGGGGATCGGGGGGTGATGATTCAGAGGATGGCGGAATAGGCGAGGGCGGGGAGAACGGGGGGGGAGGCGAGGAGGGGGGGGGAGCGGGCGAGAATGGAGAAGGGGATGGGGATGGGGACGAGAAAAAAGAGGGCGATGGGGATGAGGAGGGGGGAGAGGACGAAGATGAGGAAGAAGAGGAGGAGGAAGAGGAGGAAGAGGAGGAAGAGGAGGAGGGGTCTATACTTGGGTTGAGGTCGCACTGGGACAGCACATACGCGGACGAGCTACAACAGTTCAAGGAATGCGGTGATCCCGGCGAGATATGGTGAGTGAGGCTCTTCCCTCCTGTTCCCATGCCCACTCCCCCACTGGGTGTCTCCTGAGTGGTGCCAACTCCCTCGCTTTGATCTCGGCCGAGTTAGCAACCACATTTCCTTTGAAAGGCTGCACAGCGGCGTTTGAAGCGCTGCGCAAATCGCGTACGCCGCGTTGCCTAGTCAGCTCCCAATGTAGACTGTGTCGCACCCTCGCGCCCTCGCACCCGCTCACCCTGCCACTCGTGGGCTGTCTGTCCTGCATGGCAATCTTGACGCACAGAGCGCCCACACCCTGCCAACTCGCGTGTCAGGCCGCTTCTTCGCTCCACCTCGCTTCCTTCGCTTCTCCTCCTCATCACGCGCCTCTCTTATTTCGCGCTTTTCACTTACCCTCGCCCTTTCGCCCGCATACTGTGGCTTCTCTCCTTCAGTCTTCTCCGCCCTTACTCCCACGTTTCTCCCCTCTCTATATCCCGTCCTGCTTCTTGCACCCCCCTCACTCCTTACACCGTTCCTCCCCCCCCTCTCTCCCCCCTTCTCCCTCCCCGCCCCTTTCCCCATACTCTCCCCCCCATAAACCCCTGACGTAACCCCCCCTTTCCCCTTGCCAGGTTCGGCGGAGACGTGATGGAGACGTGTGCGCAGTGGACAGCGCGGATAGCCGCCGCCTCTGCTGTCGCGCTCGCCGCAGGCGCGCTCGCAGCTACTGTTGGGGGCGATGGCGCTGGCGCGAAGCAAGGGGGCAAGGGGGAGGGGGAAGAGGACAAGGGGGAGTCGGTATCAGGGGCGCCAGGGACGTCGGAGGGGGCGGCGTCAGGGCCAGCAGAAGCAGGGCTGGCAGGGGCGGCGGCGGGGTGGCGGGTGGTGGATGTGGGCACGGGTAACGGGCTGCTGCTGCATGCACTGGCGCGACACGGGTGAGCTGATGCTGCTGCTGCGCTGCTGTGGGTGCAAGTGAAGGGGGGCAGAGTATGTGGGGTGAATTGGCGCAGGTGGACGGGGGCGGGTGGATGGGTGCTGGCTTCTGTGTGTGATGCCTTTTCCATACTTGATTCACGGGGCTCCGTCCGTTGCCCTCCTTTCACCCCTCCACCCAGTCGTGCCCCCCCCGCATGCCTCCTTCCTTCCTTTTGAGCCGTTTTTTTTGGTGTATTGTTTGTGCCTGTGGCCCAACTCCGCCCATGCCGCTTGTCGCTGTTTCTGCTTCTACGTTGTGCACTGACGCCCGCACAGCATGGTCTCCACCAGTGCTCATGCTTCTAACGCCACCACATATCGCCCTCCTCCCTCCTCCATTCCCCTCTCCTCTCCCGTCTCTTCCACATCTCCCCTCCCCTCCCCTCTACCCTCTCTTCTGTCGCCCCCCCTCACGCGCTCCCACTCCCACTCCTCGTTGTCCTCCCATCCCTCCCTTGTGTTTCTTCCAGCTTCCACAATCTCCTGGGCACGGACTACAGTGAGGCAGCGGTGCATCTAGCACAGCAGGTGGCGGAGCAAGCCGGTCTCATGCACCTGCAATTCCAGGTCATGCTTGCTTCCTTGCATGCCATCACATGCCCATCACCCTCCATGACGTGCTAGGCGGCCCTTCCCAACGAAAGTGGGGGTCGTGCCAGACTTTTTTTCGAGACTCGGCCTGACGCGATCCGGTCCCGGGCCGGTCCGGGCCAGCTCGTCGAGCCAGTCATGCTCCGGGCCCTTGCGGTCGGCCCGGACCAGGCCGAGCTGGATTCCTGCCCTCGTCTAGCCACGTCAGACGTGCCATGCTGCTCCTTTCCATGCCAGTCACATGCCATACGATTTCGTCTGTTTTTTTCTCATGCGATGCCATCACTGTCCCCCTCACGCTATGCTTCTCACCCGGGCATTCCATTTTCCCTCGTCTTCTCCTATCCTCCCCTCTTTGTTGGAACTCCTGCCTGGACTGGGCGAACAGGCTGACGATGTGCTGGACTCATGCCTGTCCTCTGCGTCGTGCCACATGGTGGTGGACAAGGGCACCTTTGATGCCGTTCGACTGCACCCACAGGGCGCCACTCGCAAGTGAGATTGCCCTCACCTCACCGCACGCCGTGCCCTTGGGAGCTCTTGCCTCATGTCGTGTTTGCCCCGTGAATCATGTCGTTGAATGTGAGCTCTTCATTGTCCATCCTTCATTCTGCTACTGCCACCATGTTGGCACTATGTCTGTTTTTCTCTGCCTCTCACCACCTCGAATTCCCTCCCACCCTCTTTCCCTCTTGTTGTTCTTGCCTCCTGTGTCCTGACTGCAGGATAAGCTATAAGAACACAGTGGCAAGGCTGCTTGTGCCCAACGGCCTTCTGGTTCGTGCAATCTAGATTTGCCTCCTGTGCATTTTCAGTGATTTGCTAGAACTCTAGACTCCGTTGTACCAAAGTAGTCCATCACTCTGTCTCTTACACATGCACTTTTGCCTATTATCGTATGACTTGCTGCTGCCTTTGCCAACCCTGCCCCAGGTCTCCTAATTTTCTCCAATATGCATCTCCATCTCTTGCCCCTGGCTCTGTCAAACCACCCCCTTCCCCAATCCTCTGGACCCCCTCCACCTCTCCTTTCTTCCCCCCTTGCCAAATGTTTTTCCCTTCACCTGCCCGTGGAACTCCAGGTCATCACGTCCTGCAACAGCACTGTGGCTGAGCTTACTGCGGAGTTTGCCCCTCCAGGTAACATCTGCGCATGACTCATTGATGAATAGCCATTGCGTATTCATCTTCATTTCCTTTTTGTAGTCACGCTTCCTGTTTTAAAGCAAAATGCAGACCTCTCTTTTCTGGTGTCTTGACTTGCCTTTTCCATTTCATTTTGTTTTTTCCCGTTATATCAGTTCTCGGGAACGATGAGAGTGTGGGTATCAACAGTGTGGATGAGACCGCGGAGCCATGGAGAGGGGCCTTTGAGGTGATAGACCATGTGAAAACATATCCCAAGTTCAAATTTGGAGGAGTTGAGGGCGCTCGCGTTGCCACTGTAGCTTTCCGCAGGAAGCAAAGGTGACGGCTAGTGGCCAGAAATTATTGTTCGTGACCTGGAAGTGCAGCAGGATGACAGGCGTGGATAGGGAATCTTAAACAGCAAGTTTGCTGTTGAACCACAGGCTGAGCTAGAGGGAGTGTGCTAATGCTAGCTTTAGATAAAGTGTCCAGGTTTGTTGAGAATAGCAATGTACGCTACCTGGTTATGGACGAATGACACACAGTAAATATTATTTCTTGTAATTCGTGCTTGCTCATCATCATGTTATCAGACCCAGCAATGCTGAACGATTTCGTGCCGTTCGCACATTCAACATTGGAACCAAAGCCGGCCAGAACGATTCACCTAATTTTTTGCTGGAGCCTGGAACCAAGATCCTCGATTGTTTCCTTGACGTCAAAACTGTGTATGGCGTTCACTTGAAATACCATGTCACTTGCCTCTATCTACGCAGCAGTTCAGTTCGTCATTCAGCCTCACATTGCATTACGGTAATTCGATCCATCTGCGTTGTCATTTGCTTCTATCCACGCAGCATCAATTCGTCGTTCAGCCTCGCATTGCATGAATTGGATCCATCTGCGGTAGCCCTCCTGGTCATCACGCAGACAGACCCTTGACATTTAACGCCATGAACTTGAACCGAGAAGTCGTCGTCGTTGAGATGCCAACTGAGTCATGCCGTCTTCTTCATCGAATGAGGGCGTCGGACCCGTTCCTGTTTTAAATATTGAAGCATCATCGGCCGGCTCACAGTTCATGTCCTCAAAATATATGGGGTCCTGCAAAGTATGGACGTCAAAGGGACATTCTTCATTTACAGAATGCTCATCTCCTCTCATAAACTCTGACCTCTTCTCCGTAAACATATGGGACGCATGGCATCCCTTCTTGCGGTTGCTGTGAGTAGTATTTATTAGCATTAGCAGCTCTGCGGTCAATCTGCATATCAGGTGTAAGAATAAGTTTGTGAGAGGCCAGACAGAAGTTGAATTAAGGTTCTTCTTGCCTCAACGCTTCTTTCGGGTGCATAAGTCCACCCTGCAGACCTTGCTAGTACGGGCTTTAGGTAGTGGGAGATGCTAATCAAGAGCAGAGCAAGAGCAACAAGAGCAAAAACACGGAAGCCCATCGTGGACCAAGTATTTTGCACTCTCAAGCTTGGTTTTGGCTTTATGCGCTGCGAAATGTCTGTGCACATCAAACCAACCAAATGCACTATCGAGGACAGATCAACAACACTCGGTTCAATTAGCAAAATAAACATATGAGAATCGGGAGGACAAATTCAGAAATATGGCTGTCATAACATAAACTGGCGTTATCTTATGTATGGCGCTGTTTGCCATCACAACACGCAACGCAACCTTACCCGTTGACATCACAATCATTTGACTGACATCACGATGGATTCGCTATGCGCCACGTATCGAAGAATCGACGGCGAATGTGGACTGAACAATAGCGAACAGTCGGTCGTGAACCAACCACTGGAGAGCCCAATTGCGCGAAGGTTGATCACGAATCACGTCACATCGCAGATCAAAGTTCCCGCCAAAACACCCAAGCCAAACCACTGTTCACGCCTCGAATGCATTATCGCACGGCCCACAAATCGCCAGCATGTGTGAGGTGCTGCTTCGGTACTGTACGACAAGTCGACCATCGTGAGACCTGCCTTGATGAGGAACCATCGATCGAAACGCACGACGCTGTGAGATAATCTGAACCGTTAAATGTCGTGGCGCAAGTGCCTTCCCGCGACCCGCCAGAAACTGAAGTGGTCCGGCAGTGGGGAGGAACACTGCCCAAGCCGCGCCACACAATCAGGCCCACCCCCCACCTGTCATTTCCCACTACACCCCACCCCACCCCACAGCCACAACCCACCTCATCAAGAATAAGCGCTTATTCTGAGCTAAGCATGTTTCGCGCTCTCCTCCGACTCTTCATCTGTGGTTACTTACCACTACCTGGTCCTATTGCTCGTGGCTGCATGCGTTGACAAGCAATGCAGGTCTTTCCTGCCTGACCAAGTATTTCCCGCGACCTGCATTTCAAGTCTGAGGCCAGACTGAAGTGAAGAAAACGGCTCACTGCTGCCCAAGACCCCCAGCCGTCACCTCCGCACGACTCGCAGCATTCCACAAGCATATCTGCGCTAGCCTACCGATTTTCCTGCATGGCGTCGGCTCAGAAAGCGTCGGTGTCGCAGTGGACGGGCCTGCGAGCCTCCCCGCTTGTGCCAACGCCTCCTCGCAGCCTGATTCAAGCCAAGCGCCCCATCGGCACCAGGCTACGCCTTTTCGCATCCTCCGAGGCGCCGAAGGACTCCAAAGACATTGTTCCCAGCAAGAAAGAGGTTAGTCCTTTTATTCATCACGTTTCTTGTGCGGCTTCAAAAGAGTGGCATGACTACACATACTGACTAACATACGTCGCAAATGTTACCACCGTGTATGATGTGTAAATGAACCGGGTGCATTTCCACGTGTCGTAACGCCAATGGGCTCACCCGTCTTTTCCACCGTGCGCTCCCATCCCGCAGAATCATGCATTCCCAGCGGTCCCATCCGTTCCGTGGTTCATCACCCGCCGCGCGCTCGTCACTGGCGCGTCCATCTTCGTCGGCGCCACGTCCGGTCTCTTCGCGTCGGCCGCCGCGATGGCCAGCGACCGCCGTCTGCGCGGACGCCAGGCCGTCCTGGAAAAAATCCGCGCGCTGCGCGAGGAGCAGCTCTCGGAGAAGTCGTCGGATAAGCTCGAGGAGGGGCCTAGCGCGCCTTCTGTTGAGACAACCACCGAGGGCAGCGAGGCGGGCGAGCAGGATAGCCTTCCTGTGATCGAGGCGGCTGCGGTCGCTGGTGCTGGTGTGGGCGCATTGGTGGACGCGGTTTCTTCTGGATCGGCTGCTGCTGGCGCCGACGCCGCTACTATCGACGCCGTATCCAGCGCCGCGGGAAGCGGAGCACAGGCCGCTGCTGATGGCAGCGCAGCGTCGGCGATCCAGTCAGCTTCAGGCTTGGATCTCGGTGTGGACGATGACGTGACGCCGTCGGGAGACGTTGACGGGGGCATCGAGACACAGCCCGAGGCGGAATATGAGGCAGTAGCTGAGCCCGAGCCTGAGGGAACGGCCGAGCTCGAACCGGATGCAGTAGCTGATCCCGAGCCTGAGCCTGAGGCAGCAGCTGAGCCCGAGACTGAGCCTGCCGGTGAGTTCGAGCCTGAACCAGCAGCTGACCCAGAGCCTGAGGCGGGGGCTGAGCCCGAACCTGCGGCAGCAGCCGAGCCCGAGCCTGAAGCAGAAGCCGAGCCTGAGCCTGAAGCGGCAGCCGAGCCCGGGCCTGAAGAAGCAGCCGAGCCCGAGCCTGAAGCAGGTGGTGAGCCCGCCGAACCTGAGGCAATGGCTGAGCCCGAACCTGAAGCAGAGGCCGAACCTGAAGCTGAAGCAGCAGCTGAGCCCGAGCCTGAAGCAGCAGCTGAGCCCGCCGAGCCTGAGGCAATGGCTGAGCCTGAGCCCGAAGCAGAGGCCGAACCTGCTCCTGAATCAGCAGCTGAGTCCGGGGCTGAAGGAGCAGCTGAGCCGGAGCCTGAGGAAGTGGCTGAGGTGGAGCCTGAGCTTGAAGCTGAAGTTGAGCCCAAGCCTGAAGCCGCTGAGCCCGAGCCTGAGGCAGCAGCCGAGCCCGAGGCTGAAGCAACAGCTGATCCCGAGCCTGCAGCGGCGGAAGAGCCCAACACTGCCACAGCGGCTGAGCCCGAACCTGCAGCAGCAGCCGAGTCCGAGCCTGAAGCAGCAGCGGAGCTGGAACCTAAGCCTGAAGCGGTGTCTGAGCCCGAGCCTGAAGCAGAGGCCAAGCTCGAGCCTGAGGCAGCAGCAGAACCCGGGTCTGAAGAAGCGGCTGAGCTCGAGCCTGAGTCAATGGCTGAGCCCGACCTTGAGCCTGAAGCTGCAATTGAGCCTGAGTCCGAAGCTGCTGAGCCCCAGCCTGAAGCAGCTGAGCCCGAGCCTGAAGCAGCTGAGTCCGAGCCTGAAGCAGCAGGTCAGCCCGAGACTGAAACAATGGCTGATCCCGAGCTTGAGCCTGAAGCTGCAGTTGAGCCCGAGCCGGAGGCCGAGCCTGAAGCAGCAGCCGAGCCCGAGCCTGAAGAAGCTACTGGGTTCGAACCTGAGCCTGAAGTTGCAGCTGAGTTCGAACCTGACGCAGTGGCCGAGCCTGAAGCTGAGGCAGTGGCTGAGCCCGTACCTGAACCTGAAGTTGCAGTTGAGCCCGAACCTGAGGGAGTGGCTGGACCCGAGCCTGAGTCGGAGGTTGCAGCAGCGCCCGAGCCTGAGGCAACAGCTGAGACAGGTCCTGAGGCAGCAGCGGAGACGGGACCTGAAGGAGCGGCAGGCATTGAGCCTGAAGCGCCAGCAGACCCCGAGCCCAAAGAGACACCAGCGCCCGAGCCTTCTAATTTGGCCGAACCCGAACCTGAAGTAGTGGCTGAGCCTGAGCCTGAAGCACAATCTGCACCCGAGCCTGAGGCGGTAGCAGAGCCCGAGCCCGAGCCTGAGGCGGCAGCAGAGACCGAGCCTGAGGCGGCAGCAGAGTCCGAGCCTGAAGCAGCAGCAGAGCCCGAACCTCAGCCTGAGGCAGCAGCAGAGCCCGATCCCGAGCCTGAGGCGGCAGCAGAGCCCGAGCCTGAGCCTGAGGTGGCAGCACAGCCCGAGCCCGAGCCTGAGGCGGCAGCAGAGCCCGAGCCCGAGCCTGGGGTGGCAGCAGAGCCCGAGCCCGAGCCTGAGGCAGCAGCAGAGGCTGAGCCCGAGCCTGAGGTGGCAGCAGAGACCGAGCCCGAGCCTGAGGCAGCAGCAGAGCCCGAGCCCGAGCCTGAGGTGGCCGCAGAGCCCGAGCCCGAGCCTGAGGCGGCAGCAGAGCCCGAGCCCGAGCCTGAGGCAGCAGCAGAGCCCGAGCCTGAGCCTGAGGTGGCAGCAGAGCCCGAGCCCGAGCCTGAGGCGGCAGCAGAGCCCGAGCCTGAGGCGGCAGCAGAGCCCGAGCCTGAGCCTGAGGCAGCAGCAGAGCCCGAGCTCGAGCCTGAGGCGGCAGCAGAGCCCGAGCCCGAGCCTGAGGCAGCAGCAGAGCCCGAGCCCGAGCCTGAGGTGGCAGCAGAGCCCGAGCCCGAGCCTGAGGCAGCAGCAGAGCCCGAGCCCGAGCCTGAGGTGGCAGCAGAGCCCGAGCCCGAGCCTGAGGCGGCAGCAGAGCCCGAGCCCGAGCCTGAGGCAGCAGCAGAGCCCGAGCCCGAGCCTGAGGTGGCAGCAGAGACCGAGCCTGAGCCTGAGGCAGCAGCAGAGCCCGAGCCTGAGCCTGAGGTGGCAGCAGAGCCCGAGCCCGAGCCTGAGGCGGCAGCCGAGCCTGAGCCTGTAGCAGCAGCAGAGCCCGAGCTTGAGCCTGAGGTGGCAGGAGAGCCCGAGCCTGAGCCTGAGGTTGCAGCAGAGCCCGAGCCTGAGCCTGAGGCAGCAGCAGAGCCCGAGCCTGAGCCTGAGGCAGCAGCAAAGCCCGAGCCTGAGCCTGAGGTAGCAGCAGAGCCCGAGCCCGAGCCTGAGGCGGCAGCCGAGCCCGAGCCTGAAGCAGCAGCAGAGCCCGAGCCTGAGCCTGAGGTGGCAGCAGAACCCGAGCCTGAGCTTGAGGTGGCAGCAGAGCCCGAGCCTGAGGCGGCAGCAGAGCCTGAGCCTGAAGCAGCAGCTGAGCCCGAGCCCGAGCCTGAGGCAGCAGCAGAGCCTGAGCCTGAGCTTGAGGCGGCAGGAGAGCTCGAGCCTGAGCCTGAGGTGGCAGCAGAGCCCGAGCCTGAGCCTGAGGTGGCAGCAGAGCCCGAGCCTGAGCCTGAGGCAGCAGCAGAGCCCGATCCTGAGCCTGAGGTAGCAGCAGTGCCCGAGCCCGAGCCTGAGGCGGCAGCAGAGCCCGAGCCTGAGCCTGAGGTGGGAGCAGAGCCCGCGCCCGAGCCTGAGGCAGCTGCAGAGCCTGTGCCCGAGCCTGAGGCGGCAGGAGAGCCCGAGCCTGAGCCTGAGGTCTCAGCAGAACCCGAGCCTGAGCCTGAGGCAGAAGCAGAGCCCGAGCCCGAGCCTGAGGCAGCAGCAAAGCCCGAGCCTGAGCCTGAGGTAGCAGCTGAGCCTGAGCCCGAGCCTGAGGCAGCAGCAGAGCCCGAACCTGAGCCTGAAGCAGCAGCAGAGCCCGAGCCCGAGCCTGAGGTGGCAGCAGAGCCCGAGCCCGAGCCTGAGGTGGCAGCAGAGCCCGAGCCCGAGCCTGAGCCGGCTGCAGAGCCCGAGCCCGAGCCTGAGGCGGCAGCAGAGCCCGAGCCTGAGCCTGAAGCAGCAGCAGAGCCCGAGCCCGAGCCCGAGGCGGCAGCAGAGCCCGAGCCCGAGCCTGAGGCAGCAGCAGAGCCCGAGCCTGAGCCTGAGGTAGCAGCAGAGCCCGAGCCCGAGCCTGAGGCAGCAGCAGAGCCCGAACCTGAGCCAGAAGCAGCAGCAGAGCCCGAGCCTGAGCCTGAGGTGGCAGCAGAGCCCGAGCCCGAGTCTGAGGTGGCAGCAGAGCCCGAGCCCGAGCCTGAGGTAGCAGCTGAGCCTGAGCCCGAGCCTGAGGTAGCAGCAGAGCCCGAACCTGAGCCTGAAGCAGCAGCAGAGCCCAAGCCTGAGCCTGAGGTGGCAGCAGAGCCCGAGCCCGAGCCTGAGGTGGCAGCAAAGCCCGAGCCCGAGCCTGAGGCGGCTGCAGAGCCCGAGCCAGAGCCTGAGGCGGCAGCAGAGCCCGAGCCTGAGCCTGAAGCAGCAGCAGAGCCCCAGCCTGAGGTGGCAGCAGAGCCTGAGCCCGAGCCTGAGGCAGCAGCAGAGCTCGAGCCTGAGCCTGAGGTAGCAGCAGAGCCCGAGCCCGAGCCCGAGCCTGAAGCGGCAGCAGAGCCCGAGCCTGAGCCTGAGGCGGCAGCAGAGCGTGAGGCAGGAGCAGTGCCTGAGTCCACTGCAGCGGCCGCTGGGTCTGCTGCTGTGTCTGCTGATAGTGCAGTGGACGAAGCCATTGGAGAGATTATCCAGATCATCAAGGACTCACTCAAGGGGTAGTGCGTCGAGAAGATAACGGCTGCTGCAGTCGAGCAGGTGCAGTGAACCTGGGGTCAAGCAGTAGTGGCATCGGTTGCACCGACTGGTGGTAGAGCATGGTATACAGAGATGCAGGGTGGTGGTTCACAAGTTGCGTGTGGTGCAGAGTGGTTTCTCTTTGTTGTGGTAGTTCACAGGCTCTGTCCAGGATTGTAGGTGTTTGTTTCTTTCTGCTGTCTGGTGTTTTCTTTTGTCTGCCTCTTGCACTTCTGCTAAAATAATGTACTGTTAGAACAATTATGGTACCTTCCTGGGTGAAAAGGATATAGAAATTCAGAGAACCATAATGCTTGACATATGCTTGTACGATCCTACCCAAAACAAGTCCCGTAGGTCGTGGAACTTGGTAGATTCTTGTTTCAATCCAAACTGTTTTACTATGTTAATGGAAATTTTCCGGATCTGATCATTTCAGCGTACAGCAACTCATTCCACGTATCAGGCACTCCAGGCAGACACCAATGCACACAGTCTCGCACAAGCGTCCCCACTCCATCACCAGGTATGGTATTCTCTCTCGAATCCCCCAGAGCTTCTTGTCCTGTCACATTAGACACGGCACCTTCCAAGCCAGCTTCGAGGAAAGGCAAGCTCCACTGCCCACTCCTTGTGGCCTCTGCATCAAACTGAGAGCTGCCTTTAGCCCCTTCCGTTTCAAACTCTCTGCGTTTCTGCTTTGGTGCTCTGCGGTGGGTGTAGAATGATGCCACATGCGCATCGGCCCTTAGAGCAGAGAGAAAAGAGACGTTCATCAAGCGTAGCCATGTTACTGAAAGGGCTGATGCACCCTCTGCTGCTTCTCGAAGCCCCCCTGAAGCTGTTGCTGCCCTAACTCCTTCATCTCCTGCTGATGCTGCTCGCACCGCTCCTGCTTCTGCCCGCTCTGCCCCTGCTTGCGCTACTTCCGTGCCCTCTGCCCCATCTGCCTCTGCCAATGCTCTCCCCACCTCTGCTGCAGCACAGATAGCATCCTCGGCTGCTGTGTCCCTGCATTGCCCCGTGCCGACACATGCCTCCTCTGCTGGTAGTGGGTCCTGTACAGAAAGCAGCAGTGCAGAAGAGGAGGGAACAGACAGACGCTTAGGGACAGTGAGGCAGACTCGTGAGATGCCTGCCCGGGTGGGTAATGTTGTCATCCATATCATAACCATAGTCGTACGGTCGTACCCCATCGTGCTGTGTCACAGCAAGAGTTTTGTACCACGATGAGAGAAACAGAGAACAAGGTCGGTGAACCAAGTAGGATAAGAATCGGAAATAAGTGGAGGTGGAGGGGGAGGGGGAAGTGGAGGTGGAGGGGGAGGGGGAAGTAGAGGGGGAGGGGGAGGGGGAGGGGGGAGGGGAGTAGGTACACGCGAAGAAGGCAATGCATGGATTGTGGGCCAGACGCAGAGGCAGAGGCAGAGGCAGAGGCAGAGGCAGAGGCAGAGGCAGAGGCAGAGGCAGAGGCAGAGGAAGAGGCAGAGGCAGAGGCAGAGGCAGAGGCAGAGGCAGAGGCAGAGGCAGAGGCAGAGGCAGAGGCCGAGGCAGAGGCAGAGGCAGAGGCTGAGGCAGAGGCAGAGGCAGAGGCAGAGGCAGAGGCAGAGGCAGAGGCAGAGGCAGAGGCAGACAGGAGAAGCTGGAGAGGCAAGCGCTCTCACCTGAAACCCGTCGCAGCGTCCGCCTGTGCTCCACGTGCCGGCAGCAAAGTGCGCTGGAGACAGCGTGCGCAGCAGCACGAGAGGAGGCGGGCCCATGGCCATGCGCGCGTCCCTGGACAGCGCTGCGATGCTTGCTGACGCACCTCCCATGCTGTGGGACGGGTGTGGCTGGGGGGAAGACTCAGTGCTGCCACTGCTTGCAAGCACGGGAGGATACGACCCTGCTTCGTGTCCCCCAGGGCTGCTGTTGCTGCTTGTGCTGTTTGCTGCTGCTGCTCCTCGCAGTGTGACTATAGTGGAGGTGATGTTACCAAGAACAGCTGTCAATGCTTCCTGCCGCAGCACAGAGTACACTGTGGCGTTGTCTGATTGGCTGGCTGGGAGAAGGGCTGGGCGGGTAGTGGGGGAGGTTTGGAGGGCGAGGTTGTAGCGCTGGAAGCTGCTTGGGAATGATGAATGGCACAGGACACGAAGGGGAATGGGGGTATGGATGTGGCGGAGTGGGGGGGGGAGGGGGAGGGGAAGAGAGAGGGGAATCTTGAAGAGGGATTCACGAGGCGGATTATGGTTGAAGGGGATTACTGCTCGGTCCATGATACAGAATCAATTGACGGATCAGTGAGACTGAAGCTCTCGTTGCCCCACTGCCTGCTCAAACATATAATAACCCTCGCTGCCGAGACGCGCTCACGCGCACCGCTGCGGTCACCTGTCGTGGGTCCAGTGGTGGGCGGTGCTGAGAACAAGGAGGTGGAAGCGCATGAGGTGGCGGTGCAGGAAGGCATCCATGCGATACATGTGCGCCACTCGCTTGTACTGCCCCGCTGCTGCTGCTGCTGCTGCTGCCGTGCTGTTGCTGCTGCTCCCACTGCCACTGCTGCTCCCGGTGGTGCTGTTGTTGCTGCTGGTGGTGGCACCACTGCTGCTGCTGTCCGTACTGTTGCTGCTACCACTGCTGCTACTGTCACTTCCACCCACGTTCATGCGGCTGCTCTCTCCCCCCTGTCCCCCTTCCGCCACCTGCTCCACCCTCTCCACGTGCACGAGCCAGTTGGCGGTGCGCTGCAGCACGGTGAGGTTGGCGTGGGGGAACCAGAAGGCAGCGCCCCTCTCCGTGCCCGCCACAGGTCTCCTCGCCCACGACAGCCCGAACAGGTGCCCCACTGCCACCACCTCCACACCTGCCTCTGCTGCTGCGCCCTCTCCTGCGCCCCCTGCTGCGCCCTCTGCTGCGCCCTCTGCTGCGCCCTCTGCTGCGCCCTCTGCTGCGCCCTCTGCTGCGCCCTCTGCTGCGCCCTCTGCTGCGCCCTCTGCTGCTTGAGCTGCTGCCCCAGCAGTGTTGAGAGTGTCAGGCTGAGATGGGTCGGGGTTTAGGGAGTGAGGTTGGTTCAGGTTGGATGGTTGCGAGAGAGGGGAGGAGGGAGCGGGGACGGGGAGGTGCGGCGGAGGCGGGGAGGGGAGGGGGATGAAGCGGGGGGTGGGGGCGAGGAGGCAGAGGAGGGAGAGGAACTGCTGCTGGCTGAGGGAGTCGCCTGCAAACACAATGCTGCGATGCCGCACCCTGGCAGGGCGGGAACCATGAATGGGGGGTGGGGTGGTGGGGAAGGAGTGGTAGAGGACGAGGGGCAAAGGGGAGATACAGAGAGGTACGGACGGATATGGGGCATGGCATGGAAAGAGGAGGAGGAACGGCGTGTATGCGTGTCTCACGTGCTGTGTTGTGACACGCATATGCTCACAGGTGTTGAGGAAAGCAGGCAATTGAAACAGGTACCATAAGATGTACTGCAGACGGACAGGAGATGCACAGAGTTGCAATGTTACACTGTTACATCGTTACAACATCCCAGCCTCCCATCATCCCAGCCTACCAACATCCCAGCCTCCCAGCCTCACCTGGTGAGGAAGTCAGAGGCATTGAAGGCAGGCAGCGAGCACCCTGCGGGCTGCCATCTGTACTCCTCATACCCAAAACTGCGATACAGCTCATCCCCCTGCTCCCCCTCCTCCTTCTCCTCCTTCTCCTCCTTCTCCTTCCCCTGCTGCTGCTGCTGCTCTCCCAGGTCGGCCCCGAACTTGTCCCCCTTCCCTCTTGCTTCTCTGCTGCGCGCTCTGTGCGTGCGGTGGCACTGGTACTGCTCCCAGTATCCCAACCACGCGCACTCCTCCCCTTGATAATAATGACGCCGTGACGTGTCCCTCACCCATTGGCCCTCATATAAATCGCACTCTGTTGTAACCACCTGAGCGACCACCCCAGCAACCTCAGGCTGTTTCTGCGAAAATGTTTCAGTCGTCTCGGTTTCGCCTGGGATAGGCACCTGAGTTTCCTTCTGGGAGAGTATTGGTCTCAGCAAGTCCGAATTTCGGTTGGACGGGTCGTTGAAGAGGAGCCAATAGAAGCACAAGACCGCGAGTGCTAATAACGAAGCCAATGAGACTCTAAGGAGCGTCGCTCCCGTTGACGCTAGAGTGGCCGCGAAGCACGCGTATCGCATGTCGGTGTAAGAATGGGCCGAGTTGAGGTGGTGGCGACGGAAAATGAAGGAAACGGAATGGGAAACGGGGCGAGTGGCGGCGATGAGCGGAGCATCTCGATGGGAGTTTCACGCACTTCCTCTTGAAGCTGGTTCACAAGCAAGGGCGTGCGGGGATGCGATGCGAGAATCAGCATTTGCAGCAATGCTGTGCTGCGTGTCTAGTACTAGAACGTGACTGCAGTGGACTGCAGTCCGGACAGGCCAAAACCTCGTCGAAATGCACAGCACCGTCAACTTTGTAAGTGGAAACGCCCTACGACCCACTGAAGCTCCTGTAGGATGTGTCATGATGGTACAATTCAAGGCGGTTTAGTGAGTTTCCGTAGTCTCCAAACGTTGTTTTAGCGGTTGGGAAGTGTTCCAGAATCCAGAGATAAAAATGATAAGAGAAACATCCACACCCCATCCACAACTCCTTGCATGTTGCAAGAGACCGTGTTTCGCATCGTCCCAAAATGTATCGATGTCAATTTTGGAACCCTCTGTCACAGCTCTGCCAGTCACAATGAAACTGTTCGCAAATGTAACAGCGGTTTGAGGGACCTCCGAAACAACGCTCTCAATGCCATCCCGAAACCCTAACCCAACGTCATCAACCAAATCAATCAAGCCCAACCTTTGTCTGTTTCCTCACGACCTGATCGCCACACCATCTTTTCCCGCCACAGCTGCTTACGAGATTCTCGAATGAAGCTGCTATCAGCTCCGAGTCTTGCATCTTCTCGAGTCGCGAGATGACGGCAATCGCGCAGCAACTGCATTGCAGCTCTCCGCGCGCCGCCTTTGCTGGTAAGGTTCCATCTAGGCAGCTGACGTGTCACTCGCGCCACGCCGTGCCATTGACCAGGTCCCTTAGTCTCCAGGAGCCCATTATTCTGTCAGAACGATCAAGTTCGCCGCTTCATGGTTCTAGTCGACTCGTAGCGAGCGGCATCGCTTTCTGTGCACCCACGTGGAAAGCCGTGGCGAGCCGATCGCGCCGCGCCGCGATCTGCGCGGCGACCAGGTCTGATGCGCGCGGCGAGGAGGAAAGGGAAGGAGGCGGGGAAGGTGCGGCGGAAGGGAGAAGCAGAGGAGGCGAGGAGGGCGCGGACGGGGAAGGCGGAGGGGCAGCGCGGCGGGTCGGAGAGGGTTCGGCAGGTTCGGAATGCACAGCCGCGAGGCCCGTGGGCGTGCATTTCATCGGGATCGGCGGATCGGGGCTGTCGGCGCTGGCCGCAGTGGCGCTGAAGCAGGTGAGCGGCACGCGGAGGTGGCATGGCCGCATTGTGCGGCAGACAGATCACATCACATGACATGAGTCGTCCAGCAGCGTTGCCCGCGCGCTGTGATGGTTGCGCACGCTGAAGGCACGAGTATCATGAGCCGTCGGACTGCCGCACATGGATCTAGCGATCGTGAACGAGTGAAACAACGGTCTTTGCTGCCATGCCATGCACCCGCCCATCTGGTTCTATCCTGTTACAACGGCGACTCCACCCCCCCCCCCTCCCCCCCCTGTCAGGGTTACCTGGTGTCAGGCTCCGACAGCAGTGCGAGCGCGCAGCTGCAGCGCGTGCAGCAGCATGGCGCAGTGGCGTACGTGGGGCACTCGGCCGCTCACATCGACTCCGCCCTGCAGCACACCCTGCAGGCCGCCGGGGGAGCGCGGATGGAAGGGGGAGCAAGGGAGGAGGGGGAGGAGGGGGGCGAGGGGGCGGTGAGAGGGGGAGCGAGTGGGGCGCTGGTGGTGGTGGTGTCGAGTGCGGTGGCGGCGGATAATGTGGAGGTGCTGCGCGCGCGGCAGCTGGGCGTGCCCGTGTGAGTGCACGGCGATGGGGCGCTCATGTGTGCTTGTGTGCGGGTGGGAGGGAGGGGGGGGGGGGGGGGTGGGAGGGAAGGGGGGGGTTGTGTGTGTCTCTGTGTGTTGGTGTGTGGGTGTGGCTGTGTGTCTGTGTATGTGTGGGGGGGAGGGTGTGTGTGTGTGTGAGAGAGAGAGAGGCGTGCTCGTAGGGCATGGAGGCTGGGCATGCGAGTGTGAGTAGATGGTGCGATGATGGCATGCTGATGGGGGAAGGCCGGTTGTCTACGCATGTGGGGGAATCCATGCATCAGCATGTGAAGCGCATGAGCCTTCTTCTCATTCTGTCTCCCCACCCCACACACTACATCCACACCTTCCTTTATTGAGGCACCTCCACAACTCATACTATCCTGTCACATCCCATACCTCATTCTGTCTCCTCTCTCCTCACTTCTCCCTCCCTTCCCCTGCTCTCTCCAATCTCCCTTGGTAACCCTAAGCCCTCTCTCCTCTTTCTCCTCTGCATCTCTCCCCTCTCGCAGCCTCAAACGCTGGCAGTGGCTTGGCATGATGACGTCATCATTCGACTTGATTGCTGTAGCTGGTACCCATGGTGCGTCCACTGTTCATGCCATGCCATGCCATGCGTGCCATGCCATTCACTGTTCATTCCATTTCATGCACCGTTCACACGGGCCCCCCGATATTCACATGAGCAGTCGCTCTGACTCATAGCTGTTAGCCTCCCCACCGTCCCATCCACTCACTCCCATCTCCCTCATGCAACGCCTGCCACACACACAGCACCTCCTGTCTTGCCACACACTCACCACGTGTTTCTTCTTTATACAATACACTGGGTTCAACCCACCCTCGGTGCGGCCCTCTGATCTCAACTCTCGTGCCGCAACCTCCTGTACTCATCCGGCCAAGAATATTCCCAACTTCACCGTCCCTGTCATTCCCCTCTCTCTCGTCCCCCCGCCCTTGCTTGCCTTGCCTTGCCTTGCTTTGCCTTGCTGCTGCCCCCACATTGCATGCCTGCTTCTTCCCGGGAGGGTGGCATGGCATGGCAGGCAAGAGCACGACGACGGCAATGCTCACATGGGTGCTGCGCCAGATGGGGGTCCCCCTCGCTGCTGTCATTGGCGCCAATGTGCCTCAGGTACGCTCACTTTCCCATGCCGGTGCTCTCACATGCCCGTGCCTCTCACATGCCCGTGCCTCTCACATGCCCGTGCCTCTCACATGCCCGTGCCTCTCACATGCCCCATTGCCTCTCACATGCCCCATTGCCTCTCACATGCCCCATTGCCTCTCACATGCCCCATTGCCTCTCACATGCCCGTGCCTCTCACATGCCCCATTGCCTCTCACATGCCCCATTGCCTCTCACATGCCCCATTGCCTCTCACATGCCCGTGCCTCTCACATGCCCGTGCCTCTCACATGCCCCATTGCCTCTCACATGCCCGTGCCTCTCACATGCCCCATTGCCTCTCACATGCCCCATTGCCTCTCACATGCCCCATTGCCTCTCACATGCCCGTGCCTCTCACATGCCCCATTGCCTCTCACATGCCCCATTGCCTCTCACATGCCCCATTGCCTCTCACATGCCCGTGCCTCTCACATGCCCCATTGCCTCTCACATGCCCCATTACCTCTCACATGTCCCATTGCCTCTCACATGCCCCATTGCCTCTCACATGCCCCATTGCCTCTCACATGCCCCATTGCCTCTCACATGCCCCATTGCCTCTCACCTTCTCTCCGCGCCACCTTTCCCCGGTCCAAACTCTGCCATGCCTGCAGCTGCCAGGTGGCGGCAACGCATTGGTCGATGACGGTGCGAGCATGATGGTGCTGGAGGTGAGCCGCCCCCCTTGCCGCCCAGACTCTGCACGTCAAACCACCTTCCCGTTGCTGCCCCCCGCGTGTCATGATTCATTAGAGCCCGAGCGTTGAGAGACCCTTGATCCTGTATGCGTGACATGATAAGCCTTGAGAGAGCGGAGCGAACGAGTTGCATGTGGTGCGTGTGATGTGATGTGATGTGATGTGATGTGATGTGATGTGATGTGATGTGATGTGATGTGATGTGATGCATGCACGCATGCAAGAATGGAAGCCTTTTCTCCCGGAACTGTCCGCGTGTTTTCAGCCCGGGCGAGCACTGACTGTCCCTCACGGCACCTCCAGAGTCAGGAGTTTGTTTCTACCCGAGAGGGAAAGAGAGAGCGGGCTTCTTGTTTGTGGACCTCTGCTCGTTGTTTCAATGCAGCGCTGCGCTGCGCTGCTCTGCTCTGTGCGGCTGCACTGCTCTGCGCTGTGCTGAACTGTCCCGTGCGTGGCGTGGCGTGGCAGGCGGACGAGTACGATGGTGCCTTCCTGGAGCTGTCCCCCGCCATTGCGGTGGTCACCAACGTGGAGTGGGAGCACGTGGACCTGTTCGACAGTGAGGTGCGTGCTCACTGCGTGCTCACTGCGTGCTCACTGCATGCTCACTGCGTGCTCACTGCGTGCTCACTGCGTGCTCACTGCGTGCTCACTGCGTGCTCACTGCGTGCTCACTGCGTGCTCACTGCGTGCTCACTGCCTGCTAACTGCCTGCTCACTGCGTGCTCACTGCGTGCTCACTGCGTGCTCACTGCGTGCTCACTGCGTGCTCACTGCGTGCTCACTGCGTGCTCACTGCCTGCTAACTGCCTGCTCACTGCGTGCTCACTGCGTGCTCACTGCGTGCTCACTGCGTGCTCACTGCGTGCTCACTGCGTGCTCACTGCGTGCTCACTGCGTGCTCACTGCGTGCTCACTGCGTGCTCACTGCGTGCTCACTGCGTGCTCACTGCGTGCTCACTGCGTGCTCACTGCGTGCTCACTGCGTGCTCACTGCGTGCTCACTGCGTGCTCACTGCGTGCTCACTGCGTGCTCACTGCCTGCTCACTGCCTGCTCACTGCCTGCTCACTGCCTGCTCACTGCGTGCTCACTGCGTGCTCACTGCGTGCTCACTGCGTGCTCACTGCGTGCTCACTGCGTGCTCACTGCGTGCTCACTGCGTGCTCACTGCGTGCTCACTGCGTGCTCACTGCCTGCTAACTGCCTGCTCACTGCGTGCTCACTGCGTGCTCACTGCGTGCTCACTGCGTGCTCACTGCGTGCTCACTGCGTGCTCACTGCGTGCTCACTGCCTGCTAACTGCCTGCTCACTGCGTGCTCACTGCGTGCTCACTGCGTGCTCACTGCGTGCTCACTGCGTGCTCACTGCGTGCTCACTGCGTGCTCACTGCGTGCTCACTGCGTGCTCACTGCGTGCTCACTGCGTGCTCACTGCGTGCTCACTGCGTGCTCACTGCCTGCTAACTGCCTGCTCACTGCGTGCTCACTGCGTGCTCACTGCGTGCTCACTGCGTGCTCACTGCGTGCTCACTGCGTGCTCACTGCGTGCTCACTGCGTGCTCACTGCGTGCTCACTGCGTGCTCACTGCCTGCTAACTGCGTGCTCACTGCGTGCTCACTGCGTGCTCACTGCGTGCTCACTGCGTGCTCACTGCGTGCTCACTGCGTGCTCACTGCGTGCTCACTGCGTGCTCACTGCGTGCTCACTGCGTGCTCACTGCGTGCTCACTGCGTGCTCACTGCGTGCTCACTGCGTGCTCACTGCGTGCTCACTGCGTGCTCACTGCGTGCTCTGCTCACTGCGTGCTCTGCTCACTGCGTACTCACTGCGTGCTCACTGCGTGCTCACTGCGTGCTCACTGCGTGCTCACTGCGTGCTCTTTGCGTGCTCACTGCGTGCTCACTGCGTGCTCACTGCCTGCTCACTGCGTGCTCACTGCGTGCTCACTGCGTGCTCACTGCGTGCTCACTGCGTGCTCACTGCGTGCTCACTGCGTGCTCACTGCGTGCTCACTGCCTGCTCACTGCCTGCTCACTGTCTGCTCACTGCGTGCTCACTGCGTGCTCACTGCGTGCTCACTGCGTGCTCACTGCGTGCTCACTGCGTGCTCACTGCGTGCTCACTGCGTGCTCTGCTCACTGCGTGCTCTGCTCACTGCGTACTCACTGCGTGCTCACTGCGTGCTCACTGCGTGCTCACTGCGTGCTCACTGCGTGCTCACTGCGTGCTCACTGCGTGCTCACTGCGTGCTCACTGCCTGCTCACTGCCTGCTCACTGCGTGCTCACTGCGTGCTCACTGCGTGCTCACTGCGTGCTCACTGCGTGCTCACTGCGTGGCTCACTGCGTGCTCACTGCGTGCTCACTGCGTGCTCACTGCGTGCTCACTGCGTGCTCACTGCGTGCTCACTGCGTGCTCACTGCGTGCTCACTGCGTGCTCACTGCGTGCTCACTGCGTGCTCACTGCGTGCTCACTGCGTGCTCACTGCGTGCTCACTGCGTGCTCACTGCCTGCTCACTGCGTGCTCACTGCCTGCTCACTGCGTGCTCACTGCCTGCTCACTGCATGCTCACTGCGTGCTCACTGCCTGCTCACTGCCTGCTCACTGTCTGCTCACTGCGTGCTCACTGCGTGCTCACTGCGTGCTCACTGCGTGCTCACTGCGTGCTCACTGCGTGCTCACTGCCTGCTCACTGCGTGCTCACTGCGTGCTCACTGCGTGCTCACTGCGTGCTCACTGCGTGCTCACTGCGTGCTCACTGCGTGCTCACTGCGTGCTCACTGCGTGCTCACTGCGTGCTCACTGCGTGCTCTGCTCACTGCGTGCTCTGCTCACTGCGTGCTCTGCTCACTGCGTGCTCACTGCGTGCTCACTGCGTGCTCACTGCGTGCTCACTGCGTGCTCACTGCGTGCTCTGCTCACTGCGTGCTCTGCTCACTGCGTACTCACTGCGTGCTCACTGCGTGCTCACTGCGTGCTCACTGCGTGCTCACTGCGTGCTCACTGCGTGCTCACTGCGTGCTCACTGCGTGCTCACTGCGTGCTCACTGCGTGCTCACTGCGTGCTCACTGCGTGCTCACTGCGTGCTCACTGCGTGCTCACTGCGTGCTCACTGCGTGCTCACTGCGTGCTCACTGCGTGCTCACTGCGTGCTCACTGCGTGCTCACTGCGTGCTCACTGCGTGCTCACTGCGTGCTCACTGCCTGCTCACTGCCTGCTCACTGCCTGCTCACTGCCTGCTCACTGCCTGCTCACTGCGTGCTCACTGCCTGCTCACTGCCTGCTCACTGCCTGCTCACTGCGTGCTCACTGCGTGCTCACTGCGTGCTCACTGCGTGCTCACTGCGTGCTCACTGCGTGCTCACTGCGTGCTCACTGCGTGCTCACTGCCTGCTCACTGCCTGCTCACTGCCTGCTCACTGCGTGCTCACTGCGTGCTCACTGCGTGCTCACTGCGTGCTCACTGCGTGCTCACTGCGTGCTCACTGCGTGCTCACTGCGTGCTCACTGCGTGCTCACTGCGTGCTCACTGCGTGCTCACTGCGTGCTCACTGCGTGCTCACTGCGTGCTCACTGCGTGCTCACTGCGTGCTCACTGCCTGCTCACTGCGTGCTCACTGCGTGCTCACTGCGTGCTCACTGCGTGCTCACTGCCTGCTCACTGCCTGCTCACTGCCTGCTCACTGCGTGCTCACTGCCTGCTCACTGCCTGCTCACTGCGTGCTCACTGCGTGCTCACTGCGTGCTCACTGCGTGCTCACTGCGTGCTCACTGCGTGCTCACTGCGTGCTCACTGCGTGCTCACTGCGTGCTCACTGCGTGCTCACTGCGTGCTCACTGCGTGCTCACTGCGTGCTCACTGCGTGCTCACTGCGTGCTCACTGCGTGCTCACGGCGTGCTCACGGCGTGCTCACGGCGTGCTCACCGCGTGCTCACCGCGTGCTCACCGCGTGCTCACCGCGTGCTCACCGCGTGCTCACCGCGTGCTCACCGCGTGCTCACCGCGTGCTCACCGCGTGCTCACCGCGTGCTCACCGCGTGCTCACCGCGTGCTCACCGCGTGCTCACCGCGTGCTCACCGCGTGCTCACCGCGTGCTCACCGCGTGCTCACTGCGTGCTCACTGCGTGCTCACTGCGTGCTCACTGCGTGCTCACTGCGTGCTCACTGCGTGCTCACTGCCTGCTCACTGCGTGCTCACTGCCTGCTCACTGCCTGCTCACTGTCTGCTCACTGCGTGCTCACTGCGTGCTCACTGCGTGCTCACTGCGTGCTCACTGCGTGCTCACTGCGTGCTCACTGCGTGCTCACTGCCTGCTCACTGCCTGCTCACTGCCTGCTCACTGCGTGCTCACTGCGTGCTCACTGCGTGCTCACTGCGTGCTCACTGCGTGCTCACTGCGTGCTCACTGCGTGCTCACTGCGTGCTCTCTGCGTGCTCACTGCGTGCTCACTGCGTGCTCACTGCGTGCTCACTGCGTGCTCACTGCGTGCTCACTGCGTGCTCACTGCGTGCTCACTGCGTGCTCTGCTCACTGCGTGCTCTGCTCACTGCGTGCTCTGCTCACTGCGTCCTCACTGCGTGCTCACTGCGTGCTCACTGCGTGCTCACTGCGTGCTCACTGCGTGCTCACTGCGTGCTCACTGCCTGCTCACTGCCTGCTCACTGCCTGCTCACTGCCTGCTCACTGCCTGCTCACTGCGTGCTCACCGCGTGCTCACTGCGTGCTCACTGCGTGCTCACTGCGTGCTCACTGCGTGCTCACTGCGTGCTCACTGCCTGCTCACTGCCTGCTCACTGCGTGCTCACTGCGTGCTCACTGCGTGCTCACTGCGTGCTCACTGCCTGCTCACTGCGTGCTCACTGCCTGCTCACTGCGTGCTCACTGCGTGCTCACTGCCTGCTCACTGCGTGCTCACTGCGTGCTCACTGCGTGCTCACTGCGTGCTCTGCTCACTGCGTGCTCACTGCGTGCTCACTGCGTGCTCACTGCGTGCTCTGCTCACTGCGTGCTCACTGCGTGCTCACTGCGTGCTCCTTTGGTGAACCTTCTAAAGGGGATGGGTTTTGGTGCTAGTGAAGTGAAGGGTACAGGGATCATCTGCCTCTCAATGTCCAGGTGACACCGCTACTGGGGACGGATGGAAGCAGGAATGGTGCGTTACCTGTTACCTGTTTGCGCCATCCCCTCGCTGCCTCCTCTCCTTCCCTCCCTCCACCATCCGTGCACGCACCCTTGTCACAATCCCCGTTCGTTCCGCCCCAAGATTGTTTCGTCTATCCCCATCCCCTCCCCATCCCCTCCCCATCCCCTCCCTATCCCCTCCCCATCATCTCCCCCACACCATCCTTGCCTGTTCCCCATCCTCCAGGCAGCGGTGCGGGCGGCCTTCGCGCGCTTCACCAGCCTCATAAAGCGGGGCGGCGTTCTTGTGGCGTGTGGCGACAAGTGAGTGGCATGTGCCTGCCTACCATACCTGCATGATATTGTGCACAAGGGGAAAAGACGGGATAGAGAAGGGGTAGGCATATTTTGAGGCGCCTCAAGAGCGAGTGGCGTGCGCCTGCTCACCACACCAGCATGATATTGTGCACACAGGGTAGACACGGGGCACACATCTGTGTGCATTCGCCTCTTTGTGACCATTCGTGCAGGGAGAGCATCAGTGCACACTTTCACATCACATCACCATTCACGCAGGCTGGGAGGCCTGATACACACATGCACCGTTCCCCCACCTTGCTCCGCCCCCCACTCGTCCAGTGCAGGCTCTCGCGCGCTGGTTACCCGCCTGCGATCAAGCCAGGGCGACGCCTCAGCCCCTCGTGCTGCCACTGCCGCTGCCAATCCCTCTTCTCCCACCGTGCCTCATACGGGTAGCGGCGGCTCCCACGGCTCTGATAGTGCTGCTGCTGATGCTGCTGCTTCTGGTGCCACTGCACGGGCTGCTTGGCTGGATGTGGAGGAGCAGCAGCAGACAGCTGTCACGTACGGATTGGACGAGGGCAACGACTGGCGGGCCATCATGCTGGCGCCCAACCAGGCGGGCGGCACGGACTACGTGACGGTGTTTGCCGGCCGGCCCATGGCGCGAGTGAGCCTGCAGCTGCCTGGCGTACACAACGTGCTCAACTCCCTTGCTGTAAGCACCAAAACTCCCATCGTTCTTTTGAGTCACATCTCAAATGTCCCTTGCTGTGACTCCCATCCGTGCGTACGACTCACAGCGTGCTCTCTCGATTCTTCTTCCCTTTTCCTGGCGGATTTGTCTTAATGAATTCTGATTCTTCCAACGTGTCTCACTTTGATCCATAGCCTTGGCTTGGCCCCATGCATCACATCCCCTCATACAATCACCTCCCCCTCCCCCTCTCTCAGGTCCTCGTTGTTGCCGCCCAGCTGGCGGCCCGTGACGCGCCGACAGCTGGCGACGCGGCACAGGTGGAGGCGGCATCACTGGAGCTGCAGCGGGCGGCGGTGGCGCGGGCGGCAGAGCAGTTGGGGTGGTTTGAGGGGGCGGAGCGGCGGTTCCAGGTGGTAGGGCGGGCGGGCAAGTGGCGGGCCACGTTCGTGGATGACTATGCCCACCACCCCTCTGAGGTGCGTTGCGTGCGCTGCCTTGTGCATGTGGGTAGTGCATTTTGACGCACACGGCGGTCACACCCCTCCCCCTCTGAGGTGCGCTTGCTAGGTGATTCACTCAATGATTCACTCAATGGTCACGCATCGTGGCACCAGCATGTGCTGCGCTGCGGCCCATCCCTGGCGCCCATTCCCCAACCCTCAAGCTCTCCTCGCACCTTCCCGCCCATTCCCCCCCTCCTCTGTCTCCACCTCCTCTGGGCAGGTGCGTGCAGTGCTGCAGGCGGCGAGGCAGAGATACGACGAGCAGCCCATATGGGTGGTCTTCCAGCCGCACACCTTCAGGTGCCACTGCACTCCTCTCACTCGTACCACACGCCTCCACATGCCCTGCTCCTCTACTGCTGCATGCTTACTGCATGCCCGCCTGCCTGCCTGCCTGCCCGCCCGTCCGCCGACCCGCCTGCCGGCCTGGCTGTCGTGCTGCAGATCTTCAGCTGTCACCGCCTTCAGCTGTCACTCCCTTCAGCTTGTTTTCGAGCTTCAACTCTCTCAGGCGCTTCCTGAGCGTCTCACACTCGTTGCTCTTACTCTCTGCTTCATCTGCAGCTTTCTATCCATGGCTTTTTAAAGCCTACAGGAATCCTCCAATCTCCCTTTCACCGTTGTTCCTGTCACTTCCTTACCTCTCTTTCCCCTTCCACCCTCTTCTTGTTCGCTCTTCCGACCTCTTCCTTCCCGTGTCAACCTCCTTCCTTCCCCTGTCATCCGCCTTCCTCGCCTTCTCAACCTCCTCCGGTGCGTTCCCCTCGCCCGCGCCCGTGTGACTGCCCTGCCCTACAGTCGGCTGGCCCAATTTATGGACGACTTTGCGCCGTCCTTCAGCGCAGCAGACCGCGTCATTGTCACTCAGGTGGGCGCTACCTGCCATGCCAACCACACATGCCCATCACTCACACCCACCCACCCACCCACATCAAGCACACACGCAAGCACAGGCATGCTGCATGGGCTGCATGGGAGGAGAGCAGTGAGTGTCACTCACGTGCCACCCCGTGGCCAACCCCACCACCACATCTCACTACTGCGTGTGTGAGCACATGGGTGTGCACAGGTGGGTTTGAGCAGCAGCTGGGTGTGTGCTCACATGCACGCATGAGCAGGTGTCGCTGTGCGTGAATGTTGAAGCACTGTCTGAATGCACCAGTTCTTCTGCCCACCGCTGTGACGTGCATCTCAAATGCCATCCCCCACACCGCACTTGCACGCGCACTCTTCTCCACTCGGGACAAGAACTAGAGGCATCTCAGAATCATTCCCCATGGCATGCCTGCACGTGTCGTTTGTGCAGAAGTAGCATGAGTGGGGCTTGTCCAGCAGATTATGAGGCATCCCAAGAGTCATCCCCTCCCCCATCCCCCCTGGCATGTGCCATGACCTGCAGGTGTACTCCGCTCGCGAGGAGAACCGGTGGGGCGTCTCCGGTGCTGACCTGGCGGGCAACATCACTGGCCCGCCTGCTGTCTACGTGCCCAGCCTTGTGAGCCGCCTGCCTTACCACTCTCCCCTCCTCTCTGCTTCCACCTCATCCCACATCTCACTAGCGTCCCCCCTTCTCACGTCTCACACTCTCCTTCCACTCGGCCTGGTGTCTCGCTGTCTTAAATTTCCCATCAACCTTTCTTTCCACCTACCAGCTCACACGCATGTCACATCCTCTCTCTCCCCTCTCGCCTTGCGACCGCCCATCCCGCAACCCCCCATCTCATGCAACCCACAGGACGATGTGATCGACCGCCTGGAATGGGAGGTGAAAGCACGATGCCTCGCCACTGACACTGCCACTGCCACCGCTACCACAGGCAGCACCACAGATGGCAGTGGTATTATAGGCGACAGCAGCAGCAGCAGCGGTGGCAGCAGTGCGGGCAGCAGCGAGGGTGGGAAGTGGGAGGGGCCGTTGTGGGATGCAGTGAGCATTGCGGGGGGCCGGCACGGGCTCAAGGCACAGGATGTGGTCATCATGACACTCGGAGCAGGTCAGCCCTGCACTCCTCTCCTCTCCTCTCCTCTCCTCTCCGCTCCGCTCCGCTCCTCTCCTCTCCTCTCCTCTCCTCTCCGCTCCGCTCCGCTCCTCTCCTCTCCTCTCCTCTCCTCTCCTCTCCTCTCCTCTCCTCTCCTCTCCGCTCTGCTCCTCTCCTCTCCTCTCCTCTCCTCTCCTCTCCTCTCCTCTCCTCTCCTCTCCTCTCCTCTCCTCTCCTCTCCTCTCCTCTCCTCTCTCCTCTCCTCCCCTCCCATCTCCTCTCCTCCCCTCTCCTCTCCCCTTTTTTCCTCTCCGCTGCTCTCCTCTCCTCTTTTTTCCTCTCCTCTCCTCTCCTCTCCTCTTTTTTCCTCTCCTCTCCCCTCCCATGCTCCACCACACACCTAATGTTACCTCATGCTGCTTCACACCATAGATTTCTCCTCCGATGTTCATCTGATCACACCCTCAGTGCCCTCGCCTGCGACAGTCATAATGATAGTGCATGAGCTGGCCCAGCATTCCTGATTCTGGGTGTCACACCAGTTTGCAGCACCTTGTCAGCCTGTCTCTTTCTACGTGCCATGACAATCTTGCATGAACCTCATTTCTGCACCTTCCGCTGGACGCTGTGCTCTGATTGTCTGACCAACCAGGTGACATCACTCGTGTTGGCCCGACTCTCCTTGAACGTCTTTCGTCGCGAGCTTGATTTGAAGCTATTGCAGTTCGTGCTTTCAAAAGGTGCACACAGGCTAGCCTTGGTGCAATTGCAGCCAGTTCTATGCCTCGGTGGCTACAGTCGGAAGGAGAATAACACGGCAAAAACAATCATAGATCGTCCCATCGCTTCTCATAATTTCCCATGGTTTCAAGACAAGTTTAGACTCTGCTCTTAGCTGGGAGTTCAAGTAGTGCTAGTGAGCCTCATCAATCCCGATATGAACCAGCTTTGTATGTCCTCGCCTTTTCCCTGCATCTGATGCATGATTTGCTCAGTAAAAGCTATCCTTTTGTTCTATATTTCATAGTGCTGTAACTGTAATCTCGAGTGTATGTAACAACAACGCAAATTTTTCAACCATCGAGACGCAAAGATATTGGTCAAGCTGTGACCGTTTCCGATACGATGTCTCTCGTGCCGTGTGTTGAGGGACCAACGGTCGCCATTCGCGACAACAAACTTCGTCATCCTCGCGAAAGTGTGTGGCTCGCAAATCCCTTACTGCGGGGACAGGGCGCGTAAATTCAAAATATACATTTCCAATGTGCGGCTCGAGCTCGGAACTGATTTTCGTTTCTCCAGCTTCATCGTCCGTGCACGCAGCAATACCACCTCCCCAACCATCGCTCATGGGGCGAAATTCCTTCAACATTCTGGGATTAGCGTAGGTCGCGTCTGATTTGCCTTGATTGTTGTGTCTCCGGCCCTGCTCCTCCCTAGTCGTCTCATATAGTTCAGTGATTCTTTCGTCGATAGAGGCCTAGCTTGAGGAATTACACTTCGTCTGACCGATGATTTTAGTGCAACCGTGAAACTGAAGCATATTCTTTGCCAAGACACAGCTGCTACGATGGCTGCTCCGTCGCGCCGCCACAAGACTCCCTCCCACGATCCTTCAGAGAAAATTCACAGGGCTTCACTTCACCCCTGCTCCTACTCTTCGCCCCGTTCCTGCTGTTTCTACACTCGTCGCGCTTCATCCCTCCTCTCCCTCCTCCCACGCTCATCTCTTAACCTCCTCCCCCTCGTATCCCTCCTCGCACTATCGTTCCTTACGCACTCTCTGGCCGTAAGCTCAGGCAAATCTGACCGCTCTGTTTCCTCCATCGCGCCGCGCGCGTCCGGAGTGCTCCAGGTCCGCGAAAGACTGGGGAGCGCGGGACCTCCTTCCCGCAACGCCGCGCGGCCACGGCCCGGGAAGAAGAACAAGAAAGGCAAGCGTAGCGCGGCCCGCAAGGCCAAAGGTCCCCAGAAGAAGGGAAACAGCAAGAAGGGCTCTGGCAGCGTGAGAAGCGGACGCGGCAAGCGCGATGCCGGCACTCATGGCGACCCTTTTAAGCGGGGCACGAATCACAGCATGCGCAGCAGCGCGAGCATGCTAACCAGCCTCCAACGCATCATCAACGCGCCGCGAGCCGGTGGTTGCAACATGGCGACTGGCGAAGGGTGTTCCGCCGGCGACCATCACTACATTGATCCTCTTTCCAACGGGCTTCCGAACGGCGGGCCGCTTATGGCGCAGATTCAAGCTGCCACGGCGCCACGTAGGCGAGAGGTTGACGACATTATTCAAAACGCGTACGCTGCCAAGTCAACGGGCGAGCTGCGTTACCAGCTGACTCTGTCGCTTCGCTCCATTCGCATGGCCCGTCGCAGCATGTACATTGCGTCGCCACTGTGCCGTCGCACGCTCAAGTTCGCCATTTCGCAGTCCAAGAAGGTGGACAAATTTATTCGCAAGGGCGACGTCGCACACGCGCGCAAGCAGACGGTGCCCCTCGCCAAGGCCGTCGTCGAGTGTCAGCGAGACGTCGGGAGCGTTATCGCGAAGCGAAGCAGTAAGGGCGCGCCGAAAGCGCATGGTTACGAAGTAGAGACCGCGACAACTCAGGGCACGAACCTGGGCGGTGGCAGCAACAATGACGTTGGCGATTTCGTGAAATCGTTGTCTGCACTCGACCAGGTTGCCTTCACGACAGCTGCGACGGCTGCGACGATTCTCGCCGACGGCGGCGACGAGTACAGCGACAGCTTTCAAGAATTGGAGAACGCGGTTATTCGTCTGAGCGCCGTTGGGCAGACGCTGAAGCGCGTGAGCGGCGCGCGGGGAATGTCGCGCGGAATTGTGGGGCCGGAGGCGAACCAGGGGCTGCAGGAGGTCATGGCAAAGCCGCCGACGCGCGCGACGAGCATCGTGGATTTCGTCGTGGATTACGGAGAGGAGCTGGTTACCACGCTCCCCAAGGACGTAACGACGCTGACGTTCAACGGCACGCTCGGTAAGCCGCATCCGCCTCTGCCCGGTGTGACTGCTAGTGTCCGTAGTGGGCCCTGTTGGCCTGTCCCCACGTTGTGCACGGCCATCGCCCCATCGCATCACACCGCCTCACCATTCCCCCTCCCCCCCTTCTCTCCAACTTCCCCTCCCCCTTCCCTTCCCCTTCCCCTTGCCCTCCCTGTTCCCCTTGCCCTCCCCCTTCCCCCTCCCCCTCCCTTCCACCTGGCGGCGTTCAGGCGCGCGCATCCACTCCGCGCTGGCCTTCCCCTCGGGGGTGTTCTCCGCGCGTCTGCAGTGTCCGCAGGGGCAGGCGAGCGGGCTCGACACCACCTTCTATGTGAGCCCGCCACTCCCGCGTGCGCCGCCAACGCTCCGCCTCCATTTCATGAAATCAACATTACCGTTTCCTTGACAGCGGAAAACTACTGTTGCTGCTACTGTTCCGTTCGACTAGCACCGAAGCCCACGGTTTTGCCGTCGAAACTTATGGATTATCTCGAGCGTAGTGGCACTAACAGAGATTACTGACAGTCTCCCCCAGCTAAGCACAATCCCAAGCCGTCACTTATCCGCTTAAGTGCCACCGTTCCTTCCATTCTCGGACACTCCCTCGCACTCCCTCGCACTCCCTCACACTCCCTCGCGCTCCCTCATACTCCCTCACTCTCCCTCACACTCCCTCACCTTCTCCCCTCCATTCCCCCTCCCCCAACCCCCGCTCCTCGACCCCTTCTCTCTGCGCGCGTTCCCCCGCCCGCCGCGCCGCAGCTGTCGACAGTGGAGGGCGGCCCGGCGACGGACGCGATCGTGATGAGCGTGTTCGGCAACGCGCGCACGCGCGTGCGGTGCATGGTGATCGTGGACGGCGTGCCGGGCAGCGCGCAGGAGGTGGAGGTGGGCGACGACTGCGCCGTGGGCTTCCATAACATCACCATCATGTGGAGCAAGCAGCTCGTCATGTGCGTGAGAGGCGGGGGTGGGGGGGCCACGGGAGACGGGGAAGGCGGGGGTGGGGGGGCCACGGGAGACGGGGAAGGCGGGGGTGGGGGGGCCACGGGAGACGGGGAAGGCGGGGGTGGGGGGGCCACGGGAGACGGGGAAGGCGGGGGTGGGGGGGCCACGGGAGACGGGGAAGGCGGCGGTGGGGGGGCCATGGGAGACAGCGGATGGGCTTCCATAACATCACCATCATGTGGAGCAAACAGCTCGTCATGTGCGTGTGTGCGAGAGAGAGAGGCGGGGGGGAAGGGGGGAGAAGAGGGGGGGGGGGGAGCGGGGGAGAAGGGGGGGAGAGGGAGGGGGGAGAAGGGGGGTAGACGGGGGAAGGCGGCGGGGGTTGACAGGCGGGATTGTTATTTCGGCGCCTCGGTTGTGTTACACGTGCTAACCGTGTCCCTTCATTCCCGTTCCCGTTCCCATTCGCATTCGCATTCGCTTTCTCACGCGTGTTTCTCCCCCCTCTCCCCCCCTCTCTTTCCCCATCTCCCGACCTCCCCCCCCTCCAGATGGATGTACGACAACCAGGTGTTGCGAGTGCTATCGCGCGACATGCTCTCGCCCTTCCCGCTCTCCACAACCATGTTCCTCTACGCCTCGCTCTACGACACCTCGCCCTACCCCTACGCCTGGCAAGCCGGCTACCTCCGCTCCTCCGCGCTCTCCCTCTCCGCCACCTACGCCGCGCCCACCGCGCTCGCCCCCGCGCCGTCCCTCAACTTCAACCTGCCGATCGACCCGTTACTAGGCGCTCCGTTAGAAACGCGCCCGAAGGGGCGGGTGATGGGGCGAGGGGCGATGTGGCCGGTGGCGATCGACTACTGCTCGACGCACGTGGAGACGCAGCGCGGGTATCAGTCGATCCGGTTCGACGGCACGGGGTGCGGCGGGCGCTTCCACTCCACGCTGCGCTACTTCAGCGGAACGTTCTCCGCGCTCTACCAGTGCCCGCGGGGGAACGCGTCCGGTCTCGTGTCCGCCTTCTACGTGAGTTTGCTGGGGTTGCCTGTGTTGTTCCTCTCTCTCTCCCTCCTGGGCTCTTGTGACTGTCCCTGTGTGAGGGACGCTGCCCCTCACACTCCTCTCGTTCCTGATGCTCCGTTCCTGGCCATCCGACCATCACCTTCTCTCTTCCTCCCCATCCCCCACCTGCGCACCACCTGCCCCACTCCCTTCCTTGCAACTATCCTCGGAGGAGGGCAGTCGGTTCCAGGACGAAATAGACTTCGAGTGAGTGGCTGGGCCACATGTACGCCGAATCAAAAGCCACCCCTCTCCTCACTCTACTCTTCCCCCACCACCCACCCCCCACCACATGCCCCACTCCCCAATTGTGCAGCTATCCTCGGAGGAGGGCAGTGGGTTTCAGGACGAGATAGACTTCGAGTGGTTGGGCAAGACCAACTCTTCTTACCCCCTCCTTCCCCATCTCTCCCCACCTGCGCCCCTCCCCTCTCCCGCAGCTATCATCCGAGGAGGGCAGTCGGTTTCAGGACGAGATAGACTTCGAGTGGCTGGGCAAGAACCACCGCGCCGTGCAGACCAACTTCTACGTCAACGGGGGTGGCGGGCGCGAGGTGCTAGTACCGCTCGCCTTCGACTGCTCCGACGGCTACCACAACTACACGCTCTCCTGGACCAGGGAGAAGATCCGGTGGTATGTGGACGGGGCGCTTGTGAGGGAGGCGTTATCCAGTCAGTCGGACGCGTATCCTGTGAAGCCCATGTATGTGTATGGGTCCATGTGGAACGCCAGCTGGGTGGTCAATGGCGGGTGGTCGGGTGCGTATAGCGGCGTGGACGCGCCTTACTTCGCCAAGTATAAGGATATAAAGATCTTGACAGCTTGAGGGGAGGGACGAGGCGGTGGTGGTTGGTGAGAGTGGGAACTTGGAGGAAGAGACTGGGGAATATGCCGGTTGCAAGGTTGGAAATTGGAGCTGTCAGCTAGTAGGTGATGTGAAGCAGGAAAGCAGGAAAGGGAAGCAGGGAAGCAGGAAAGCAGGGAAGCAGGGAAGCAGGGGAGCAGGGAAGCAGGGAAGCAGGAATTACAAGTGACGCACACGCTCTCCTTGATCTAAGCATGTTTCCATGGGTTAGCCTTCTGCACACATTCAGCAATTGTGGATGGCACATTGCTCTGTGCATCCTTGGTCGTAGCTAACCCCTTACAACCAGGTCTGCGCTAACTGCCGTGCCTTTTGTTCTTACCTTTAGGTCTCCGCTTCTGCTTCGGTGCAGCACAAGTTGCTCTTGCTCAAGAAGCCTGTAGTCTTTGAATTTGTGGGCGTCCTTGACATGTTAGTGGTTGTTTATATTAACCTGGGTCACAGTCTGTGCATTCTTTCCAAAGAATTGTATCCAATGGTTCTGTGATATGATAATCCTGAAAATGCACGTGGTTTTATATGTTACAAGCCAAACTCTGAATGTCCAAGCGTATCCTGGGTTATATGCTGTCAGTGAGCACTGTGATGGACGGCTTTCACAGAGAATCATCCATTACCGGTTCCAAATGCCACCGAGTGCTTTCATGGTCTCACCAGAACACTTGAACCTCATCCTTTGAAACAACACACTTGTTCCAGTTCCATACCGGTACAACACAGCTGCTGACATGAAAACGTTGTGTAGAGATGACATAATACAACTTGACAACACACAACTTGTATTATGTATCACTAACAGATAGAACCTCTCCTTTACCCGGTTCAGGCAGCAGTAACAGACACATCACGCCTGTAACCATCCCCTGTAGCCCAAATATCAACAGAGGGTAACTAGGGGAGGTGCGACCGAGGAGCACTATATGGGGTACAAGCACTGTAGCGACTTGGCCTGCCTGCGTGACTATAGCGAGAGACAAGTGGCGGATGGAGGTGGGGAAGAGCTCTACCTGAAGCACATAGGCAGAGGAGAAAGAGGATGTGATACAAAAGAGGGCAAGGAGGGAGCAGAGAGGAGGGATGAAGGGGAGGACGGAGTTTGACTGTACCTGTGATTGTGACTGTACACATGAGGGTGACTGTACACATGAGGGTGACTGTACACGTGAGTGTGTCTGTACATGTAACTGTCCATGTGAGGGTGACTGTACACGTGATTTTGACTGTACATGTGCCTGTGACCGAACATGAGCCTCTGCCTGCACATGTGGCCCATGCACTAGCTCCAAACCAAGCGATTCCTTGCTCGCACTTCCACGCCCTCCCTCTGCCGCCACCAACAGCGGAAGGTCCTTCCACTCCAAACCAGGCATGTCCTCTCTACGCCCCCCCGTCTTCCCACCATCTCTCATACCGCTACCGCCCTCTGTCCCCCCTGCTCTTAGCAGCTCTCTTCTGCTTGCACTGCTGCTGCCCCTGCTGCCTCCCCTCTCGCTGCCACTCCCTCCCCCATTTCCCTGCACCAGCAGCCCCCCGTCCCCTGCCCCCTGCGCCAGCAGCATCCCCCCTTCCCCGCCCACCTGCGCCAACACCAGTCCCCCTCCCTCTCCACCCCCCCCTCCCCCTCCCCCTGGCCCCTGCGCCAGCAGCACCGTGCCCCCAATAGCACACAGCAGGCTGCCCAGTATGAGCGAGCAGCTGACGAGGCGGCGGCGCCCCACGCGGTTGATGAGGCAGCCGGAGAGCAGGATGGAGGGCACCTGCACCACTGCCACCAGGTACGTCGCTGCTGCAATGCTGCCCATGGGACTGCTGCTGTTCGCGGGATTGGGGCTGCTCGTGAGGTTGCTATTGTTGCTGCTGCCTGCTGCTGCTAGTTGCTGTGTAAGAGCAGTGGCGAGGTTGGCGGTGTTGAGAGTGAGGCCGTTGTAGAGGGACGAGGAGTTGAGGAAGAGCAGCAGCATGAGGCACAGCCGCTGCACGTGAACCCGCGACGACAGCAGCTCCTGCAAACCCCCCCACTTGCCTGCACCTCCTCTACCTGTGCTGCCTGCTGCACCTGCTGTTCCACCTCCCCCAGCTGCACCTCCCCCAGCTGCACTCTCATCACCTCCGAGCGACAGACAGTGCAGATGCGCCCTGGGTGATGGTGACTCCCTCAACCCCCCCCTGGCTGCACCTCCGCCTGTGCTGCCAGCTGCACCAGCTGTGCTGGCGGCACAGGAAGCAACGCAGCCACCAGGTGAGCCTGCACCAGTTACGCAATATTCAGTAGTTGAACCTTCACCACCACCACCACCCTTACATGACACGTTTGCACCTTCACCGGCAATCCCTCCCCCACTTGTACCTGCACCTGTTCCTCCTCCTCCTTTTATACCCTCCGATGCTTCTTGAACCGGTTGACTTGCCACCACCCCACTTGCAGCCGCCCAGGAATCAACACGGTTTTCAGCTGCTGAAAGCTCGGCACAATTCTCGGCACAAGTTTCAACCGCCCGAAACTCGTTACAACTTCCAATTGTCCGGCAACCAGTACAGTTTCCAGCTGCCCAAAGATCAGGAACCAACACCACTCCTGCAGGAATCACCCGACTGTTCCCCTTCGCCAAACCCTGCAACACCTGCAGTGCTCCCCCTCTTCCTCCCCTCTCCAGCAGCCATTTAGGCGACTCACACACCCATGTAACTGATCGCACCTCTTTCCAAACCACTCCCTGAGCCTTGCGGTGTCTCAGAGCTACCTCAGCTGCTTGCATCACTGCCCTGCTCTCCCCTCCTCCCGCCCCTGCCTTTACCACTAGTGCCTCTTCCTCCGCCTCCGCTGTACACCCCTCTCTCCTCCCCTCTCCCTGCCCCACTGCCTGTGCTGCTTTCATTATCACTTTCCCAGTGCTCTCGCCCTGCTTCTCATCTGCCAGGGGCACTATGAGACGAGTATCGTCTTGACTATTCTCACCACCTGCAATACCCACACCAAAAGCCCGGTCCCCGCTTTTCCTGCCCAAGAATGCAACGAAATGTGCCATGTGGCCGGATATGATAGGGCGGATGGCGAGCAGCAGCGGCGGGAGGAGGAGGAGCGCGCAGTACAGACCACCAACTCCCGCCCCAGCAAGCAAATACAGGCGCCGCCAGGACGGGGCGAGGGATGCCTGTGGTGCACTGGCAACATCCCACCCTGCCGGTGGTGCGTGCAGCACAGGCACTGACTCAGTAGCAACCACAGCTCCCATCCCCCCTGCCGGTGCCTCCTTTTGCCACCACCACTGCACTGCTTCGGCCTCTTCCGGACCCACCGCCGAGGCAAACGCGGCGAGGGCAGGCAGGAGCATTTGCCCAAAGGGATACGAGAGGTTCACGAGCATAGAAGCGGGCCCTCTATAGCTTGGCCCTATGAGCTCCGCTGCCAGCACGTAGCACGTGTTGCCCAGGCCCGATGTGGCGATGCCGGTCAGCAGGCGCAGGAGAGCGTAGGAGTGAGGGGATGGGGCGAGGGCTGTGAGGGTGGTGAGGAGGGAGGCGAGGAGGGATGCGAGGAGAAGCGTGCGCTTGCGACCCAGAGGGCCGTCCGAGAGGAACGCGAAGAAGCATGAACCTGGGATATGGACAGATGGGGGAGGGAGGGAGACGGGAGAGAGGAGAGGGGAGAGGGGAGAGGGGAAAGAGGAGAAGAGAGGGAGAAAGAGAGATGAACAGCATGGCAGCTGGACCTTGGTGAGTGGCCCCGATAACTTACAAGTAGTTATAAGACGCCAGCACGCTGCACATAGTATGTGTTCCAACAGTACGTATGTACTTACTTAGGGGTTAAGTTGCTGGGTCAGAATTTGAGACTATAGGCCGTTGCAGGTTTCAAAAATCAAGGCTTAAACCGCGGGGCTCCGTATTTCCTGTATAAGGTTTTTACGGTTTACTCAACCACCTGTGGAAAACCGCTCTCCTATGCACTTCAAAAGTAGGTTGTAGGGTGGATGGAACGCACCGGCGCAATAACCCATGAAGTATCCCGAGTCAATCCATGCTAGCAGCTCCTGTTGCCCACAGATGAGACCCCACTCTGACACCACTGAAACACTTGCTGGCTCTGACCATTGCCACGTGGCGTTCTCCCGTTGGCTAGCCTGATGATGCCACGTGGCAAGCTGCTGCTCGGCGTCCACCTGGCAGAGAGTCTTCCCGAAGCAGGAGGGCGCAGTGCAGTGCCATGCTGGCATGCGCTCTGATTGGTGCGGAAGAAAGGGAGAGAAAATCGGACGATTGCACGATGGCGTGCTGTTCGCCTGAAGAAGGGACCCCAAGATGGAATCTAGTGCGCAGTGGTTGTTCCATTCAGAGATGTTACACGTTTCTGAAAGCTCTACAACTCTAGCTGCTCGCTCGCCTTCAACCTCTTTTTGAACTACAATACATGCGCTCTGATTGGTGGAAAAGAGTGCCTTCTTTGAACTAAAATATTGGTGAAAGAGAACGTGAAGGGGAAGGTGGGTGGATGGGAGGTGAGGGAGGAAATCCTTGTGGGCGAAACGGAGGCATGGGGAGGGGAGCAACGGAATTCGGAGAAAAGAAAGACCTGGTAGCGCACCTGTGAAGATGATGATAAAGGTGAACAGCGCCTCCAGGGACCACGCACATGCGACCAGCACGGCATGGCGGATCTGACACGGACCTAGCTCGCCCACATACTTCTGTAACACGCCATCCACCGTTAGTAGCTCCTCTGCTAACGTCTCCTCTGCTAGGATCTCCGTCAGGATTTCCTCCGACAGGATCTCCTCCGTTAGTATCTCCTCCGTTAGTATCTCCTCCGTTAGGACCTCCGTTAGTATCTGATCCACTGGTTTTCTGTACGACATTTCCTCCATCTATCTCACTTTTGCTGCGGACATAAAACGAACTGCAAGACCTCGGAATGTTATGGGAGCGAATCGCCCGTGACGAGATCCTACTTGTGCCACACCTGGTTTTATCACCGTTCTCCGACTCTCCGTTTCCCATGTCTCTCCGTCCAGCCCCTTACTGTTTGTGGTGAGGTGATGTGTAAGGGCCGGCAGGAAGGGTGAAAGGAAGAGGGAGGGGTATAGAGGGATGCCGGGGGATGCCATGTGAAATTCAGCTGAAAACTGGTGGTGGAGGGTGTGGTGTAATTCAGCTGAAAGCTGGTGCGTCAGGCTGAAGCCTGGTCGATAGTTGACATGTCGAGGTACCCGAATTTCAATGTAAAATTCCGAGCTTGTGCTGCAACCTGCTCTTTCTGCGTTTGCGAAGAATGCCGAATGCGGAGTGTGCGAACGTTATACCCCATAGAAGTTCCCAACCAACCTTATCCACCCTCATAGAACCTGAACAATTTAGAATAGCGGGTGAAGTTGTTCTGTAGGGGAAAATGAAGTCCATTCAGGCTTGAGGTAAAAAGCAGGTCTAGCAACAGCATGCCATTTTCATACAACGTACCGTAAGCCCTGGACATGATGCTATAGAAAATGCTCTACAGAAAAGAAAGACCAATGTCGCCAGATGTGAATCACGCTAGCATAACTGGTGTACATAGATTGGTTCAAATTCACCTGCCGAAGTGCCAGCCCACACATCAGAACGGCAGGTGCATAGGTGCTAGCACCCCACCTTCACATCACGCTACAACTCGCACTCAAGTCCTCCTGCTGCCGCTCTCTTGCTGCAGGCGCCAGTTGGCAAGGAACCTGCTAAAATGCGCAGGCGTATATTGGTGCGTGCAACCGACGTAAGCCATGCCTTGGTACACTGGGTCCTCCTCCCATCGCTCAGGTGCACCAGATGGCTCCAGGGGAGGCAGCAGAGACGGGCACGCTCCTGGCTCTGCTGCCACAGCATCTGATGTTGAAGTAGCAAGTGTCGTTGGTGCTGTTGCTGGAGGTCGAATTCTGTGATGACAAGAACGTGCGAGCCAAGGAAGCGAGCAGTGTGAGAGCATGGAGCAGGAAGAGGGGGGGCGAAACCGAAGGGAGAAGGGGAAGAGGGGGGGAACCGAAGGGGAGTTGGACGGTGAGGTTTATTGATTGAACAGCAATACACAAATACCCATACAAGCTAGACAACGAGGTCCCCACAAGAGTGATTTCAGTGCGCAACTGTGAATGACCAAGGGCACAACCACATCACAACGCCTAAACCAACCACATGATCTTACTTGTCCTTTTCGCCGCTCCCCTTGCTCCCTCCGTGCCTCCTCTCGCTCCACGCGGCCCTTATCTCCTTTATCCAGTCATCCTCCTCTTCCTCCCCTCCCTCCTCTTTTCCCTCCACCTCCCCTGTCTCCTCTTCTCCCATAACCTCAAGGTTCTCCCACACACCATATGGGCCCTCCCCATCCCTGCCCCGCACATCCTCTCCATACACCACGGTGCCCGCCCCAGCCCCCTCCACTCGCGCCTGCCCCTCATCCCCCGGCTCCCCACCCCCAGCGCGCGCCATCCCCCCTTCCCCCGCACAGCCCTTTCCATCCGCTCCCACACGCAAATCTCCATGCAAGAAGCTGGGAGAAACCGTTGCGCCGGAAATTACAGGAGGGACACTGGCAGCTTCTGACAGAGGCTCGGACGCGTTTAATTGAGGTTCGGAAAGCTCATGGAGAAACAACCGCCTGTTGGGCTTCGGCCGTTTGTCGGTTCCGCGTGTAACGCGTACAGCAGTGGCGGTGTCTGGGGCTGCAATTTGCCCTGGCCCTGCTTCGTCTGCACGTCCCGTAACTTCCCCTTTGACGTGAACATTGAAACTCTTCACATAGGCATCAGCATCAACTGCAGACGGATCAGTGGTAGCAGAAGTTGCAGATACCCAAGACTTGATCGCGGACGCCTCTTTGCTGGAAGGGAGCGGGCGACAAGGGAAGGGAGCGGGTTGCAAGGAAAGGGAACGGGTGGCAAGGAAGGGAGCGGGTGGCAAGGGAAGGGAGCGGGTGGCAAAGGAAGTGAGGGATAGGCAGAGTGATTGGAGAGTTGTTTTTTAGAACGCGGAGTTGGATAGCGTTGGCCAATACAGGAGAAAAGAGAGGACGTCGCGAAAGTAAGTAGGATTGGTGGTGCATGCGATGAGACGGCGACGGGCGATACGTCGAACGCGTGGAAATGCGAGAACATGAACTGTCACTTACGATCGACGCGGCCGCTGGAGGTGCTGCGGCGAGCTAAAGACGACCGATGCTCCAACGCGTTCCTGGTCCGCTCGAAGCGGCGGTTGCTGCTGCTGCTCATGAAGTGGGGAAAGACGACGTGGGATGCGGCAAAAAAAGGGCGTTGTATAACATCAGGATAGTCTGCTTACTCAGCCAAGCCGTCATGCAACCATAGTGAATTTACGCGGTACAGATGCTAGCATCTACGAGGCCGTGAGATGAACATGGAGCAGGCGCAGGCGATACGTAGCGCAAAAGCACCATGGTACTTCCAGCCTAAACAAGGGAAAGGGTGCACTCACAGACATAGTTCTCCACAGGTTCGAGGCATGACTCTTCGATGATGTATCCTCCATATTGATCCACACACCCTCCCTCAGTATGGCGGACAGACTTGGATCAAAACTCTGATAGGCTAGGCAGAGGGCTTAGACGGCTGTCAGCACGCAAAGACCTCGACCAAGGAGCTTGCTATTGGCCGTCAAGCAGACGGTAAGACCAGGATGGCTAGCAACGCGGTGATTTAGGCACGGTTTGGGCAAAGGTAGAAAGTTGCGTAACTTGCGCTAGTAGCAAGTGTGACATGATGGGATGGCACAGTGAGTTGTTCGTGGCGGAGAGGGAGTCGGAAGCTGGGAACCCAACGGCCCCACGACAAGAGTCTTGGCGCCAAATTTGTTCAATTTGTCAAATTTTATTTTCGCTACAAGCGAGAGCTTGTTCAGGGTAGCCCCATACTCGGTAAGACGCACAGAAACCAAATCCTTCTTTACTTATTACCGTACTACAGCTCTTGTGTCACAGCAGAGACACTCAAGTGTGGTATATAAACAATTAAACTAAAACAGAGCCATTACAGAGGAATGAAGAAATCATATTTGTGACAAGTTTGCACTTTGCACATTGTGTTCATCTAACTTTAATCAAAGCAATAGAAAGTAGTGCAGAATTTTTTACCGCATTTGAATTATTTACACCACAATTTTGTCAAAGGAAACTCACCCAAGCAAATATTCGAAGACATCAACCAATTGATTGAAATTGCAATGTCATGCCTATCCCAATCGTTACGGTACTCAGCAACATTTCAGCTTGACGAAACTAGCGAGGACGCTATCCGAGAGCAAAAGCCTCTCCTTTATGGGGTACATTGAGTGTTGATGCGCTGTGTGCTCGCAACGAAGGCTTCTCATTGGTCTAGCTAAGGTAGGCGACTAGTGGAAAATCCTCGTGGCAGCCCTTCATTGGTTTCTTTGATCGCAGGCATCTCATTTCCACATGAAGGTCCCCCCAGCCCCGTCTCATGGGGCAACTACCCCATCCACTGCCCGTTGGGCAAGCACTGGCTGTTCGCCGCGGGGTCTGCGATGACTCACGCTGGGCTTGCTTGGCTCACGACAGCGTAGGTGGAGGAAACCTGGAGCGTGTCCCAGCAAGCCAGAGTTGCTCCTCCCTCGAGTTTCTCCTGCTCCTGTCGGGTTGAGCCTCTCTCCTCTCCCTTGTGCTTGTCCCGTGCACCTGCACCGAGGCAACTACGCAGGGATTGCTCTCACGCCGCTGCCTGCTCCATGCATCCCTAGCTCCTGATTACCTCGATCCTCTAGAGCCTGCGCCGGCCGCCGTACCTCCATCCCGCACCGCAATCCTAGCCAACAGGGTCCGGTTCCAAACATGGCCAACGCTGTGAGCGGTATCTCCGCCGTGTCCGGCGCGGCGAGGTCGTTCGGCCGGCTGTCGTCGACAACAGAGGCCGCCAGTCTGTGCCCCGCTCCCGCTCTTTCCGCCAGTCAAGCCATCATCGAGGAGAGCTCTGTGCTGGTCGGCGAAGGTTCGAGGCGCTTCGCGCACGGCCCGAGAGTCTCGTCCCCCGACCGTTCATCCTCGCATAGCCTTCGCTTCGACGACGATTGCACGCAGTCAGGGCTGAAGCAGGCCAACGGTTGGTCGCTCGAGAGGACAGCGTTCGAGACGAAAGCCGGTCCCAGCGCCTCTGCCTGCAGCAACGGGAGAGGCCTTCTTTCAAGCGGCAGTAGTATCCTGTGGCAAGAGCGAGCGGATTCGCCGGAGGCAGCTGTATTCCGTCTCGCACCTGTCGGCCCGCCGTTTTCGTGTGGAGGTAGTTGGGAGCCAAATGGGAAAGCAGGGCACGTGGCGCCTTCGCGCAGAGCCCACTTACCGGTGAGAAAGCCTCAGAAGCCTTTAAGAGGCGTGCAAAGCCTTGCCCGCGGTTCCTCCGCCGGCACGCCGCCGATGCTGCCACTAGCGCTGCTGTCGCAGTCGAGCGAGGCCATGGCGTGGCAGCTGTACCTGCAGCACCTAGACGGGTCGCAAGTGCGGGAACCGCGGGACTCACCCGACTCACGAGACTCGAGAGATTCGCGGGATTCACGGGAATCAAGGTGGTCGAGACGGTCAACCCCCGAGGGCGTGAGGGAGAGGGCAGTGTTTTTGGAGGAGCTGGGAGTGGATATGGTAGCAGCCATCGTGAAGTGCCCAGCGCTCATGGACACTACGCTGCCTGTCATGCGAGCAGCTCTCCACTTCCTGCGCGTCGACGTCGGCATTTGCACGCCGCGCGACATCGAACGCGTCGTTCATCGCTGCCCGCAAATTCTGACTCTGGATGTCGAGGAGCGGCTCGTCCCCGTTGTGTATCTACTGCGCCGCGACCTCGGCCTGGACAGAGCGCATGCTAAAAAGGTAATCTCTCGCTGCCCTGCGCTGCTGGTTCAGCCGATCGACACGGTGCTCCTGCCGGCCGTCAACTTCCTGCGCGCCATGGGAGTCGAGAATCTCGCGAAAACTGTCGTCAACAACCCGTCGCTGCTGAGCGTGGACCCCCAGCAGAAGCTGCTGCCCAGACTGAGTTTCCTGCAGGAGCAAGGGCTCACGGCGGACGAGGCGAGGCGGGTTCTGGCTCGCTGCCCCGCCATATTCAACTACAGCATCCAGAGCAACCTGGCTCCCAAGCTGCAGTTCCTCACAGGGACCATGCGACGCTCTGTGAAGGAGATTCTTTCGTTCCCTCAGTTCTTCTCGTTCAGCCTCGACGGCCGCATCCAGCCCCGGTTTCGCATGGCGGCGGAAAGGGGGCTGTCTCTCAGCCTGGGTGCGCTGCTTGCCCTCCCCGAGGATGCTTTCCTCATCAACTGCGGGAAGCTGAGCGAGTCGTGTCAAGCTGTGGAGCAGAGAGCCATGAGTTCGTGAGGCTGGGGGACTGGGCTGGGATGGGACCATGGCCTGAGTTGAGCCATAATGTGGTTTGCATGGTTTTTGTTAAAGCGGATTCTCTGTACATGCGCTATCTATTCTGGATTGAGACCAATATTCAAGCAATTCCCGTACCATATTATTTGAGCTAACCAATGGCAGTAGTGTGATGAAAGGGGGCAAAAATGGCAGGCCCTGTGCAGTGGTGTATGATTTGGTGTTGTTGTGATGTTGGCCAGTGGTGGTCACATTAGGTAAAAAGAATGCATCTATGCAGACTATCTCCCGCTGGAGCATTTAACGAACTCTACATAGCTGCCAAAGAGAGTACGAACCAGAATGTTTGCACCTTCTCCCTGGTTTCCCCAATTTGCATACTGGTTAGCCCACTGACACGATAAAGCAAGGGTTAAGTGTTAAGGCTCATGTATTTACTCTTCTGACGATAAGCGAGGATGCTGTTAGTGATCGACAGTGTTGTTTCGCAGTGAATGGATTGTGCAAGCATTGGGAGTTCATTCCCTGCATTTGTAATGCCACGTCAACAGACATCGAAACCTCCAGATGCGAATTTCACCTCCACTCTCGCTTTTACCATTCTTGCCACGTTCGCGTAGACACGTCAGCAAAGCCCCCCCTTCAAGCTCCGCGGAGTCATCCATCCTCCGCCAAACCCAAGACCCCTCATCTGCTTATCTAGGCTCATCAGAACCAGCCAGTATTGCTCGTCTTTCCCGATTAGCTTCTAGTAATTTGGCGACCCTTGCCAAGGTCGACCCCTTCGGTTCGGAGCTCTTCGAAATAACCTTTTTGTGGTCCTGATCAGGTTCAATGGCCGCGTCAGCGGCTGTGCGTTGCGTGGCCATGTCGTCGTCGCAGGCTCTCCACGCGAGCGTCGTTCCCTCGTCGCAGCACCAGTCCCAGTCGTCACATGGAGTCGTCGCATCGTGTGCGCGCGTGCAAGTAGGCGGCAGCTGCACCGACTCGTCGTTCCTGGGATGCTCACGGGTGTCGGTGGGAAGGAGACAAGCGGGTGCGAAGCGCATGGTAACGAGGATGGCGCCCGACGAAGACAAGATGACAAAGCGCTCCCCTCTCGATTTTCCTGTGGTAGGCCATTCCTCATTACTCCTTCCTTTGCGCTTCTGTTGTGTATCGCACTCACGTCGTGTCGTGCTTTATTCCTTTCATACCCCGTTTTGTTCTCCCCTTTTCTTTCCTTCCGCCGTTCTCCTTTTTGCCCCTCGTACCTCTCGCCTCCTCACCCTCGCACCCTCCTCTTTTCCTCAATCCGGTTGAATGGTAGGTTGATTGCATAAAATAAAATCAGATGTAACTAGATAATACGAATGGAGGCCATGCGTAGGATATGCCTGGTATACAGGGTCGCGGCTCGGGTGTTCATCCGACGGGCTTAGACTACGCCGGGATCATTTGGTCCTTCGATCGCATAACACTCTTTAAACTCCATTAGGCTAGACAAGATGTAGCATTTTCGTCGCATCAGTTTTTTTGCAAAAACAAATGTATAATTTTTTTCTAACAGTTTTTGGCAATATTGTCAGCCAGCAGCACTGACCTCCTTGGTTCTGCGAACGACTAGCGTCGCAGCGGCCGTATATGCGAAGCAACTGAGCAAAATTGTCTAGTTGCCACGTGCCAGCCGGCCCAGCGAGCATTACCCACTCCAGTTGTCCGCATTGGCCCATGTGTCGCTACTTACAATAAAAGCCAACGGCAAGTTGTCTACTCGCTGTCACTCACAGATTCCGCTTGTTTCCCGCGAGTTACTGTTCCATCTTTCCGTGTGTAGTTGATGGCAGATGCCTCCTCCCCTCCGCTCCCCCTGCACTGCCTCACCCCTGCCGTTCGTCCCCGTTGTTCCCTCCTCCCCCCACCTCTCCCCCCCCTTCCCCCCCTTTCTCTTCACCTCCGCGCATGTCAGGAATGGGAGCGGCCCGGGCCGGGGCGGAGAGCGGACATTTTCCCGCAGTTCTCTCCGCTGAAGCCCCCGCTTCCGCAGCCGCCACCATCGGACCCGCCGTACGAGGAGGAGGAGGACGAGGAGCGCAAGGACCCCGAGATCGACCCCGACAAGGACCCCGACCAGCCCCCGCCCGAGGAGTAGCGCGCGCGCCATGGGGGCGGTGGAAGCGGGGGAAGAGGGGGAGTGGGGGAGATGGAGGGGGGGAGATGGGGGAAGAGGGCTGAAGTTTTGAGTAATGGGATGCTTGGGAGTTTTAGGAAGGTGTGGTAGGAGTGTCTGATGCATGGGCTTGGCTGGAGCAAGTGGACATGATGAGTGACTAGAGCAAGCGGTACTCCAGTCCAGAGGCTGTTTCAGTCACTAGACGCGAACTTTACTAAGTGGGTATTGGAGACAGAAGGGAGCTGGGATTTAGTGGCTGTAAGCAAGCAGGCGCATGGAGCACTGCTAGCAAGCTGAAGGGGTTTTTGTGAATGTGATTATGTATGCGCTTTTGTGCTGTAGTTTAGTACATTTGTTTTGTTCTGCCGCCTGCTGAAAGTGCTGAGCTGACATTCTTGACTTGTCTCATGTGTTAGGAGACCGTTTGATGTTGTGATTGTATCGTGAGACAATCTTGGTACTGTACGTATGTACTTGCAGATCCTTGGAACGTTTTCTCAGAAACGCAAGAGAACCAGACCGATGATGTTACCATGCACAATCCAATATTGGGTCAAAATATACGATAGTATACTGTGCGTCATCCTGCCATCTTGGTAATTCCCTGACACATACTGAAGCGCTTGGAGCTGCAGATGATTTTCCTGAGTAAATTTGTGGACTTCCACCAAACCCCAGTGCCTGCCAGAGCAGCTATGTAGCAGGGAGAGCGCCTTGCGAGCGCAGCAGCTTGGCGACATGCGTTGCAATGCTGCTGGCACCCTTGTCAGTGCAGCAGAAGGTGTGCTCATGCCCTTCCTCATCCACGTATGCTGCCACCTCTGGCACTCGCTCCTTCATCTGCAGCAGCGAGAGGGATGGATGGATAGATGGAGGGACAAGGGCGAGAGAGCGATGGGTTGGAGTGAGAAGATAGAGCGTGGATGTGCGATGCAGATGACATCCGGCATGGTATGGCTGCACAGCACCATGACATCATGACATGTTTCATCAAGACACCATGGCATCACGAGTGGTGGACGGAGAGCTCACCTGCTGGTGCAGGTGCAGCGGGCCCCAGTGGTCGTCGCGGCCAAAGATGAAGGTGAAGTGCGGCGCATTGCTGCTCAGAAACGCCCAGTCAAACTCCCGCTGCGAGAACTGCTCACTCCCGGGTGCGAGGCGGGAGGGGGGGGGGGGGAGGGGGGTGATTGGTTGGAGAAAGGTGGCGAGATTCAAGTCGATTCAGCAGAGTGCAATTATAGGTGCGGGCATGTGTGTGTTGAAGGGAGCCTGGTTACTGCTGACAGGGATGGTAGCATGCGATGATGGACGGGGGCAAGCGGTGGGTGCGAATGGCAGGGATTGGGGAAGCAAAGAAGGGCGTTATAGTGAAAGAGAGGAACAACGCGGCAGGTGAGATGGGAATATTGTTGTAAGCGGAGAAATGGCGAAGCGTGGAAATGGGGAAGTGAGAAAGTGGGAGGTGGCAAGTGTGCAAGGCATGGTGGCGATGCAGGCAGGCATGCATGCAGGCACACTCACATAGATGAACTCGGTGTGGCCCATGTAGGCATAGTTGCGAAGCATGTTGTACTGCAAAGGGACATCATGGCGAATGCATGGTGGGCGATGGGATATGTGGGATGGCAGATGAGTGGTGCCGCACAAGAGAGGAGTGGATGGGGGGAAAGCAAGGGATCAGAGGTTTTCAGAGAAGGAGGATGGTGAGACGCGCCATGGGGAAAGTGGAGCACGTGGAACATTAATACCATATGGTGCAAAGGGTGCTGCTAGACATGAGTGACACAAAAGCATGTGGTTCACCCAGCTTCTCTGCGTGCACATGCACGTGCATGTATTTGCATGTGCATATGTGTGTATGCACATGAAGTGTGCATGTGGATGGGTGGATGTGTGCACGTGTGGACATGCCAGCATGCCAGCATGCCAGCAATCAACCCACCCGCAGCATGGCAGTGGCGGTGACATGCACGGCACCATGGCTCCACGCCTTCCCCACGCCGCGCCGCACCACCCACTGCACCACCCGCGCCGGCAGCACCCGCACCACCTGCAGCAGCGCCGCCACCACCGCCAGCAGCGGCGTGAGCGACGCGATCAGCTTCAGGCGCCGCTGCTCGTCTGATTGGTGGTTGAACGCGAGGAAGGGGAAGAGCCCCACCACGTGGGCCACGTGGGAGGGTAGGTGCCTGCGCATCTCCACTGCTATATGCGCGCCGATGGAATGCCCCACCACTACCCACCGCTGCTGCTGCTGCTGCTGCTGCTGCTGCTGCTGCTGCTGCTGTGGTGGCTGTGGCGGTTGTTGCTGTTGTTGTTGGTACGCGGCTTCGTCCCCTTCGTTTCCTGCAGCAGCGGTACCCGCTTCTTCCTGGATGAACCTTATCTTGTGCTGGATCTGGTGCTGTAACGAGTACAGACGCCCGCCCTCCATCTCGCGCTCCGTGTGCGCCACGTGTCCCACCACCACCACGCGCGCAGCCCCGCCAAGCGCGGAGTGCAGCGCGAGCGCAAAGTCCGTGTAATACGCGCACACGCCTGGATTCCCCGGCACTACTAGCACCGCGGGCGGGGGGAACCCCGCGGAGGAAGCTTCCGCTATGCGATTGCGGATATCCCCGGCGATGCCATCCGCGGCTGCTGCCGCTGCGCCGTTTGCTTCTGGCGACGCGCGGAAGCGCGACTCGGCGGGCAGATCGATGATCTCCGTGGGGTTCTCGCCCACCCGCCGCACTCGCACCCTGCTTGCGCTGCCGCCCCACTCGCTGCTGCGCGCTCCGCTGTTCTGCTCCCCGCTGCCTCCCGCCATTAGCCCACCCGCCTCCGCCATTGCGCTTGCTGCGCGCGCCACCCCGCTGCGGCAGCGGCGATCGCCCGCGCAGCCGTGAGCAACCGCTGCACGTGTCAGGTATCCGCCTGGTGCGGCTTCCCCTGCGGGGGAGGCGCGCTGGACTGGCGGAATTGGGTGTGAAAGAGGTGAGAGGAGCGGGTACGCGGCGGACGCCGGAAGATGCGCGCACGATGGGGATCCGCGGATGTTGCGTGAGTGATAGAAGCGCGGTGCGGCACGGGGAAGCGCGCAGGCAGACGTGGAGCGGCGAATGAGGGGGGTCGGGGACGGAATGCGGAGGGAGGTGAAGGGGGAGGAGAGTCGGAGGGCGGCGATAGGGCGAGCAGCCATAGCTCGTGGCAGAAGGGGGTGATTGACAATTCCGTTCAAGTGGAGTGGTTTGGGTGGGAAAGAGGGCAGGATCTGCGGAGCTCGGCGCGCAAGTTTCGTGCCGATAACACGTCTACACATTTATTAAACTTACAACTCAAATACAACTTTCATTAGACACACTTTGCCAATAATGAATTTGCCTTATGCTTAACTCCGTGCCGAAGTACATTAATCCAGCCCGAGGGAGCAGTGGGAGAAGAAATCATCTGAATCCATGAACTCATGCTCTAGATCCAACGGTGGCTGGGCATCTGAGGACTGCGGTAGCGTTATAACGAGACCCGCTGATTCAGAATCACCATCGGCAGCAGGAGTGTTGTCTGTGACTGTGGGAGTACGAGTTCCCTGAGTAGCACGAAGGGAGAGGGATGAGCAGTACAGGGTGACAGCAAATGGGTGGTGACTCGTGAGCGTGGGTGGGGGGCACTGGCAAATATGGTAGTGTGGTGGTTTGAGGGACAGATAGCAGAGTCCCGAACACAATTGAGCAGAGAATGTTCCTGGGGAATGAACAGGGGACCAAGAGGTGACCACTGGCACGAGCACCAACATCCCACTAACCCCAACTCAACGTTACATACACCTCATGCTTACTCGCAATCGCAACCCAGTACCTGAAGCCCCAGCCCACAACCCCCTCGCTACCCCCTGCATCCCTGCCATCTACCCCTCCCCACCCTTTGCTCCCATGCCTTCATGGCATGGCTTGTGGCCCAGGGCAGTGACTAGTCAGCATGGGTGAACTTTGAGGCGCCTCAAAATTTACCTCATGGCATGGCTTGTGGCCCAGGGCAGTGACTAGTCAGCATGGGTGAACTTTGATCAGCCAGAGTTTGGAATCTCTTCTTTGCAATTTAGGGTCATGGATTTTGGGATGTGAGGGTTGGGCGGGGTGGGTGGGGAGCGCACCTTGGCGAGGTGGAGGAGGAAGTAGTGGAAGGAGTCCCCAAAGGCCGTGTGCTGCGCGTGTGGGACACAGCGTGGCACAGTGGGACACAGAGGAGCACAGAGGGGCACAGAGCACAACAATACTATGTTTAGAAAGCCCTCAAAACATGGACGGGTGCTGGGGTGCTGGGGTGCTGGGGTGTCGGGTGCAGGGAGTGAGGAGTGGAAAGGGGAGTACCTGCAGCGTCCATGTGAGGTGAGGGGCCTCGTAGAGGGGGCGACGGAAGTGAGGCTGGAGGGGGGGAGAGGGGAGGAAGGGGATAGGGATAGGGATAGGGGCAGGAAGGGAGGAAAGCGTGGGGGGTGTGAGACATGCTGAGACAATGTGAGATGAGCCAGGACACTGTGAGGCGACACGAGGGGTGAGATTGGTGGCATGTGTTGCGGTGGGCAAGGATAAGAGATACTTTTGAGAACTCTGAAAAGTGACACAGGCACGTGCTGTGGTAGGCAAGGGATACTGGCAGCTGGACTTGGAACAACGCAAGACTGACTTCTGAGCAGATCCCCCCTTACCCCGTCCACATGGGACCCATGCCCATTATGCCCCATCCACACCTTCCCCCATCCCCCTACCCCCTATCCCCCCTCCCCCCATTCCGCCCGTCGGCTGTACCCCATCCGTCCCTCGCCCGGCAGAGCACCTACCCGCCTGCTCCATCCACTCTCTCGGCCCGTCGGCTGTACCCCATCCTGTTCCCCTGCACAGAACCTGTCCGACAGCGCACCTGGCCGAAGGTGATGGAGAGCAGGCGGCCGTGCGAGGTGAGCATGCGGTGGGCTTGTGAGAGCGCTGTGTGCACTCGCTGCACGATGGGCGGCGCCACGTGCCAGGGGGAGTCGCTGTCCACTAATAGCACGTCCTGAAGGGTGGGAGGCGGAGATATGTGGAGAAGGGGAGAGGTGGAGGAAGACAGAAAGACGGGGGAAGGAGAGGGGGAGACAGGGAGAAGGGGGAAACGAGGGGAAAGATAGAGGGGAGAAGAGGGGAGAAAGAGAGAAGGACAAAGAGGGGGAGGAGGGGGAGAGAGGAGGGACAGAGGAAATTTTGAGGGGCGTGGGGGAAGAGGGGAGGGGGAGTGGCTGAAAGGGGGTGCTTTAAATAGAACAGCATGAATGGAGGATGGCGCGTTCCAGCCCCCCGCTCCCCCCCAAGGTACTCTTCCCACGCTCAACAATCACCCATGACATGAACCATCAACTGTCATCGCACCATCACGCCCTTCTCACCATCACGCCCTTCTCACCAGCACGCCCTTCTCACCAGCACGCCCTTCTCACCAGCACGCCCTTCTCGAGCACGACATCAAAGCATGCATCAGGGAAGGGCAGCGCCATCATATCTGCCACCGCCCACGTGATGCCCGCCGCCCGCCCACACCTGCACACCATGCCACCGCCGCCATCGCTGCTGCCGCCGCCACTGCTGTTGCATGCCTCACCCCCATTGCTGCTGTGAGCAGCGGTGTTGCCATTGCCAGTGAGTGTGAGAGCAGCGTTGCAGGCGCATGCATGCTGCACCTGCCCCTCTCTGCCCCCTGCTACCGCACCCACATCACTGCTGCCCGCAGGGGTGGCTGGGGGTGAGGAAGACTGCTGCTGCTGCACCTGGTGTTGGTGCTGTGTGGGCTGTGTCCCTCCAGGTGCCTCCCCAATCGCTGTGTGCGCTGCTGCCTCAGAGCTCGTACCAGTGCAATCACGTGCGGCTGCATGAGTAGCATCAGGGGCTGTATCCGTTACCGCCGCAGGCGGTGCAGCGGGTGCAGCAGGGGCACCAAGGGGAACAGCAGAGGTGCAAGCAGTGGTGCCGCTGTGCGTGCTCCCCATGGCGCTGCTCCCCAGAGCGGTGCTGCGCTGTGCCATGCGGTGCACCACGAGAGCAGAGAGGTCGGTGGCGGTGATGTGGCGGCGGCCGTCCCGCGACAGGCACTCGGGCAGGTCTGATGTGCCGTTGCCTAGTATCAGCACCTGGTGGTGTGCGCAACACAGGGGCACACGTGGAGCGGCAGGGAGGTTGCGGGGTAAATGGCTGACTGCGAAGAGCTGCAAGCAAGACTAAGAGAAGACGTAGGGAGATAGGAAACGTAAGAGGCTTAGGAAGACAGCAGTGAGTATGTGTAGTGAGTGAGGGAGCGACGGTATGAGGCGTTTAAAAGGCAGAGAGAACTGCGGGTACCGCGGGGCAGGGGGGGGATGTGGGCGAGCAGCAGAACAGCACAGGAATGTGAGGAACTGTGGTTGTGAGGCGCCTAAAAAAGCAGATGGGGAATGTGGAGGGGTGATGTGATGTGAGGATGGATGGAAGTATCTTACCCGGTCGCAGGGGCGGATGTGTGTGAGCAGCAGGTGCTTGAACTGCGAGTAGTCACCGCACCACTCAAACGACTCCTCCACTTCAAACCGCTTGTCCCTGATGCCATGCCACGCCATGCCATGCCATGCCATGCCGTGCCATGCCATGCCATGCCATGCCATGCCATGCCATGCCATGCCGTGCCATGCCATGCCGTGCCATGCCATGCCGTGCCATGCCATGCCATGCCACGCCATGCCACGCCACGCCATGCCATGCCATGCCATGCCATGCCACGCCACGCCATGCCGTGCCATGCCATCAGGTGCCACACCATGCATGCCATAGGTTGTTCTTCACTGTTCAGGTTGAGGTAGGTCACAGCCTGCATACATGCATGATGCATCCCTGTCACCCGAGCCCCTACCACCCCATGCTCCACGCGCCCTTGTCCGCCCTCCCTGCTCCCACACGCCGCGCACCCCGCCACCCCTTGCACCACGCAGTACAGGGTATAGGGTTCAAGGTTCAGGGCTCACAAGTACTTAGAGTGCAATCACACCACTAAGACCAATCCAGACGCCATCTCCCTCCCCTCCCCGCGCGCTCCCCGTCCCCCTCGCCTCCCACTGCAACCGCCTTTGCGGATTTACTTTATTTTTCTCGTCCTCGCTGAAGCGCTCACCAGTACTCGATATTGAGGTACTCCTTATTCGACCGCGGAATGAGCCCCTTATCGCCGCCCCCGGGGGCTGCGCCGCTGCCTCCGCGCGCCGTGCCCTGCGCCGGGCGGTCGGCGTTGCCCAGGTCGGCCATGGTGCGGGGACTGCGCGGAACGGCGGAATGACTGTAATGCGCAGCGGAGAGCGCTTCCGCAGCTGGCGGCGCAGGGGTTTGAGCGGAGGCCGCAGAAGGCGCGGGGTGTAATGAATGTGAGTCGCGGAAGGGGTGAAGCGCGGATCGCCTTTGAGTGTGCGCTGTGGAGAGGCGCATGGATTTTGGGAAGTGTGCTGAAAAACTGCTCGTATTTCCCAAGCCCCCTGAAATTTTGAAATCAATTTGGATAAGTGGACAGATGCATGTGACACTAGTCGAATGGGCGGGAGACGGTGACCAACGATACCGAGCATCTCGTGCGTGGGTGGCTGGAGTTGGGTTGGGTGTGGAAGGGTGATTTATTGTTCCAAACTCGTCGTGTGAGTAGTGTGAAAATCGAGGAGTGCACTAGCGAAGACAGCTGACCCATTATGCAATAATTCTGTTCCTGCTTTAGTGACCACACGAATGTATAGTTCATCTAAATTCTAGCTCTTTTTTTTGTTATAGATAACCCAAATAACGCGGCACGGCACGGAGAAGCGCGGTTGGATCCTCTCCGCCACGCGCGCATGGCGCTGTTCTCCCCGCTGCTGACTTAAGACCGGACACAGGGATTCACGGCTTGACGGCTTGACGGCTTGACGGCGCGGACGGGAAACAGGTTGGACGCGAAGGGTCGGTGCGCTCTGGAGCAGCACACGGTGGGCACGGCCGCGGTCTGACAGTAGCATGCACGCGAGCAGCGGCAAGGGCGCGGAACCTGCGCGGGGATGTGCTGCGCGGAGGGCAGGGCGGGCGGCGACGCGGGGGGGGAAGGGGAAGAGGGAGGGAGGCAGCGGCGTCGGCAGCCATGGCGTCGAGAGCAGCGGCAGGATGGGGAGCGGGTTCGTGGCGTGTCCTGTGTGCTGGCGCTCCGTGCCTCGCTCCACCGTTTCACTGCACGTCGACTCCTGTCTGGGTGACGCTGCTGCTTCCGCTGCTCCCACTCCTGCTGCTTCCGCTGCTCCCACTCCTGCTGCTTCCGCTGCTCCCACTCCTGCTGCTTCCGCTGCTCCCACTCCTGCTGCTTCCGCTGCTCCCACTCCTGCTGCTTCCGCTGCTCCCACTCCTGCTGCTTCCGCTGCTCCCACTCCTGCTGCTTCCGCTGCTCCCACTCCTGCTGCTTCCGCTGCTCCCACTCCTGCTGCTTCCGCTGCTCCCACTCCTGCTGCTTCCGCTGCTCCCACTCCTGCTGCTTCCGCTGCTCCCACTCCTGCTGCTTCCGCTGCTCCCACTCCTGCTGCTTCCGCTGCTCCCACTCCTGCTGCTTCCGCTGCTCCCACTCCTGCTGCTTCCGCTGCTCCCACTCCTGCTGCTTCCGCTGCTCCCACTCCTGCTGCTTCCGCTGCTCCCACTCCTGCTGCTTCCGCTGCTCCCACTCCTGCTGCTTCCGCTGCTCCCACTCCTACTGCCCCTGCCGCTACCCCTGCCACTACCCCTGCTGCTTCCGCTGCTGCAGCTGATGTTGCTGCTGTTGCTTCCGCTTCTGCGGCTGGTGGCGCGGAACAACCACGGGGAAACAGCACGCAAGGCAGGGCTTGCGCTGGGGAGGAGGGTTGCGGTGTGGTGAGGGGAGGAGAGGCAATCGGGGCTGCCGTGGGGAGGGAACAGGAGGGAGAGGGTGGAGAGGTAGGGGGAACGAGGAGAAAGTATGGGGTCGAGGGGGCAGAGGTGGGGAGAGAAGGGGCAGAGGTGGGGAGAGAAGGGGCAGAGGTGGGGAGAGAAGGGGCAGAGGTGGGGAGAGAAGGGGCAGAGGTGGGGAGAGAAGGGGCAGAGGTGGGGAGAGAAGGGGCAGAGGTGGGGAGAGAAGGGGCAGAGGTGGGGAGAGAAGGGGCAGAGGTGGGGAGAGAAGGGGCAGAGGTGGGGAGAGAAGGGGCAGAGGTTGGGAGAGAAGGGGCAGAGGTGGGGAGAGAAGGGGCAGAGGTGGGGAGAGAAGGGGCAGAGGTGGGGAGAGAAGGGGCAGAGGTGGGGAGAGAAGGGGCAGAGGTGGGGAGAGAATGCGGGGAGGTGAGGAGGGGAAAAGAGGAAGTGAGGAGAGAAGGGGGAGAGGCGGGGAGAGAAGAGGGGGAGGTGGGGAGAGAAGGGGGAGAGGAGGGGGAAAATATGGTGAGCAGCGGAAAGGGAGGGGAGGTGGGGGTGAGGGTGGGGAGGGAAGGTGCTGTCGATCGCTGGGAGAAGAGGGGGTTGGAGGGGGGAACGGAGGGGAGAGAGAGGGAAGGAAAGAGGCGGAGAGTGGGGTTGGAATGGTGGTGGTGTTGTGGGGAGGAGCAGGGCAGAGGTGGGGAGAGAGAGGGTTGTTGTGGCGGTGGTGCTGATGGTGCTGCAGGGGATGCAGGGGCAGCAGGAGCAGTGAAGAGGGATGCTGTGAGACGAGATGTAGCAGACGGAGCAGGCACGGGGGAAGCAGGCACGGGGGAAGCAGGCACGGGGGAAGCGAGCACAGGAAGAGGAGACGAAGCAGGCATCGAGGTAGCAGGATGCTCAGTACGCCTGGCATGGGATATGTTTTCGCGAGCAGGGCGGCAGCGCAAGGTGCACACATGCACCCACATGCACCCACATGCACCCACATGCACCCACATGCACCCACATGCACCCACATGCACCCACATGCACCAACGCACATTCCACTTGGTACCTGCAAGCATGGCCTGTGCTGTCGTGCTTCTATTCACCTCACTGCTGCTGCCCGTCCCCACCCTTTCTCCCCCTCGTCCCTCCACTCCCCACCGCACCCTGCTCTTCTGCCCCGCACACCATACATCTTGCATGCTTCGTGCTCACATCATGCCCTCCCCTCTCGCATCCCCTGCACTGCCCTCTTCCCTTCGCGTAAATCTCGTGTTCTACCCACCTACTCTCTCTCCGTTACTCCCTCCCCCTCTCCTATCCTCCCGTTATCCATCCATCCGCCCACACTCGCTGCCTGCATCCCTCCCCACCAGGTCATCTATCTCATCAGACACGCCCACACGTCCTTCTCTGCTCCCCCCCCACACACGACCATGCCGCTCGCGTCCCATCTCCCCCTCTCCCCCTCCGCCGCTCCTCTCCCACGCGCCTCTCCGCCGCTGCTGCCGTGCCGCACGTACCGCCATCACCTGTGCCGTGGCCATGACGTGCCACTCTCCCCTCTTGGCAGACAGCAGGTCAGCCTCGCCTGCCCATGACTGCTGCTCGCTGCTGCTGTGTGCTGCTGTGTGCTGCTGTGTGTTCGAACTCAGTGCAACTGCCATGGTTCCCTTGCCTTCTCTCTCCCATCAGTGTGCTAATCGCCCTCCACACATCCCCTGCACTTGTCCCGCTGCTGCTCCTCTCTCTGCTTCTCCTCCCACTGCTGCCTACCCCCCTCACATCAGGCCATGGATCTCCACCCCACGCTCATCCGCATTGCCCAAAAATCGCAACTAGTGAGTCTGCAATTGCTTATATTGCTTATACGGGCCCTGTGCAGGGCTGCACACAGGGAAGTAGGGCCTGCCCATAAGTGTTTCGCCAAATGTGGCCTCAGCTTTCCGTGTTCCCTTCCCAACCTTCCATCTGCCCCTCCATGCCACCATCCCCTCCCCCTTTCTTCATTTCTTCATCTCATCGCCTGATTCCTGTCCTCCTGTTCTCATGCCCTCCTGTCCTCCCATCCTCCTGCCCCCCTGTCCCTTTCTCCCCTCCTGTACATGCTCCATCAGGTCCTCGTGTCGCCACTCTCCCGTGCGCTGGAGACTCTCTGCTACGCCTTGCACCTCAACACTCCCACCGCCACCACATGCCACTGCAACGCCCCCTGCACCACCACCACCATTCCTGACCCACCATGCTGCACCGCACCACAGCCCTCCAACTCACCTAATCATCCCTTTAACGCACCTGCAAAAACATCAAACTCCCTTCACCCATGTCCTCACACACACCACGGACCAACACACGCCCGTTCCAGTGCCTCCCAACCTGCGACCCCCACCACCCTGGCTGCTCCTGCTCTGCTGCCCTCTCTCCCCCCCTGCCGTGCGCTACCGCACTCGCCCCTGCCGCACTCACCCCTGCCGTGCCCTGTGCGTGTGTGTGCGCTGCACTCAGAGCATGTGGCGGGCCCTGGGGACATGGGCCGTGACAACGAGGTGCGCGCATGAGGTTGCAGAGGGCCTGGGGTACGGTGAGGTGGGGTGGGATGACGTGGGGTGGGGTAGGGTGGGGTGGTGTGCTCGGTTCTTTTATTGTGTGTGTATGTGTTGGCATCTGAATCATGGCATTCGTACCTGCTCACCATGCGCCACTCTTCATGGTTACCATCCATGGGCTCACAGGGCACTTCCTGCATGTGCATGTGCTCACATGTCTGTGCATGTGTGTGTGCGTGTTTCTGTGTGTACGTGTGCATGTGCATGCGTGCGTGCATGTGCATGCGTGCGTGCATGTGCATGCGTGCGTGCATGTGCATGCGTGCGTGCATGTGCATGCGTGCGTGCATGTGCATGCGTGCGTGCATGTGCATGCGTGCGTGCATGTGCATGCGTGCGTGCATGTGCATGCGTGTGTGCATGGCATGTGCATGCGTGCGTGCATGTGCATGCGTGCGTGCATGTGCATGCGTGCGTGCATGTGCATGCGTGCGTGCATGTGCATGCGTGCGTGCATGTGCATGCGTGCGTGCATGTGCATGCGTGCGTGCATGTGCATGCGTGCGTGCATGTGCATGCGTGCGTGCATGTGCATGCGTGCGTGCATGTGCATGCGTGTGTGCATGTGCATGCGTGCGTGCATGTGCATGCGTGTGTGCATGTGCATGCGTGTGTGCATGTGCATGCGTGTGTGCATGTGCATGCGTGTGTGCATGTGCATGCGTGTGTGCATGTGCATGCGTGTGTGCATGTGCATGCGTGTGTGCATGTATGCGTGTGTGCATGTGCATGCGTGTGTGCATGTGCATGCGTGTGTGCATGTGCATGCGTGTGTGCATGTGCATGCGTGTGTGCATGTGCATGCGTGCACGTGTGTGTGCAGATACTCGCCTCCGACTTCCCGTTCCCCTTCCTCTCCTTCTCTCACCTCCCGCACCACTGGTGGCCCCACCACCAGTCCCACCCTCCCCCCACACCCCTTCCTTCCACACGCACTCCTCCTGCAATTCCTGCCGCACCGCCCCCTGCAGCACCGACCTCCCCTGCACCGATCGTGGTCCTAGCAGCAGCAGCAGCAGCAGCAGCAGTTGCATCGGGTGCGGTAGCGTCCTCTCCGCTTTGCACAGTCCTCCTGCCCCTCGCCCCCACTTTGGCTGCCGCCGCTCTGCCTCCTGCCACCTCCGCTGCTTGGAATGCGCCCTCCCTGCATGAGCCCAGAGGTGTGTGTGCCGTTGCCTTTAGCATGGTAAGGCACGTGGGGGGTGGTGAGGTGGTGAGGGGAGTACACGCAGGGGCTGCTGTTGAATGGCACACCAACATAACACGGTAGTATCTTGAAAGCTGAAAAAAATGGTAGGCGGAGGGGGAGGAGGGGGGGTGGAGGGGAGGGGTGAGGATGGGTGTGTGATGGTGTACTATGGTAGGAGAGCATGGGCGTGCACATGCATGAGGTATGAGCAAGTGGTGTGCGTCTGTGCTGGTGGGCAGCGCCCATGGCTATTACGCCAACCTGTGCTGTTCACAGCCATGCCAAACCCCATCCTGGTGGCTTTCCCTCTCTCCTGTGCCTCGCCATCACCCATCTGCTCGTTTCCACTCCCCACCTTTTCCCCACTCCGCCCTCCTCTCCTCCTCACCTCTCATTGCGCTCCTTATTCCATTCATTTTGATATTTATAATCTCTCACTCACAGCAACCGCTCCTTCCGGAATAGCCTCATCCCTTTCCTCGTCCATTCGTCTGTGCTCCACTCCTCTCCTTCCTACGCATTACAGGTCAGCATGCATTACCCCCCCCGCCCTCACCCCCTCCCTTGTCTCCCACCAGCCGCCCTACGCAAGCGCGTGGGAGAATTTCGTCGTTTTCTTTCCACGTGCCCCGAGGCCACCATCGCTGTCATCGGCCACTCCACTTTCTTCATGGTACTTACCTTTCTTGCCTGCTTCCCTCAACGACCACTTACCCTTCTTTTCACATGCATGCTTTCTGTGCCACTTGCAATTTGAAGTTTCCTGTTCGTCCAATTTATTCACCCTTTTCCAGCTGTAAGCAACGTGTAGGCCCATGTTATGAGCTGGACACGGGTGCGTAAATACGATATTTTTGGTTATTTTCCTTCTAAACTGTTTGCCCTATTCATGAGTTAAGTGCACCCGCCATTGCATCATTCATTCCCTTACTCCAGGAGTTCTTGGCATCTCGGCGGCGCATGAAGCATTGTGAGGTTGTGAAAATCTACTTATAGGGACATGGTTTGTCTCTGCTTGTTGTACGGGAGGCAGTGGAACCTAGTGCTGTCATAGCATGTGAAGTGTTTCGCACTCAACTCAATCACAGTACCGTACCAGTACTTGGAACACCCAAACCACTCTCACGGTTGTGGCAAACTTGTGCTACACTAAGCCATCAAAGTTCCAAGGCTGGGTTTGAAAGAGCAGGCTCTGCAGTCATTGGAAATGAAACAAAATACAGATCATATCCCGCATCATCTTGACAACATGCAATAACAAAAAAAGGAGTTGGTATGGGATGCATGGGGGGCATTGGATGTGGCGGACTCAGAAGAGAGCATCAAACTGCGATTTGTCGAAGTCATCGAAATAAGGATGCTGAAGGGCATCCTTAGCAGAAATTCTCTTGGCGGGATCATACGCCAAGCATTGCTGCAGCATAACAAGAATCGATAAGTAACTGGAGACCAACCCCCTTGACAAATTGCTCAAGAACACAACTCACCTTCAATAGATCAACGCCCTTCTCGTCCAACTCTGGCACAAGCCGAGCAAGGTTCTGGGCACTCCACTGGGGGAACTCATGCCAGTCACGGTGATTCGAGAGACCAGGCCAGATTTTGTCGTTGGGAGTTCCAAGCACGCTATACAGGCAAGTACAGTAAGGTTAGTCGGTCGATCATACCAAACCATGTATCGTAGGCGAGAAAAATGACAACTCACTGGAAGATTTGAAGCAGCTGCTGTACCTCTGAGTCGCCTGGGAAGAGGGGCACGTTTAGTGCCATCTCCGCTGAAACCATCGCGAAAGAATGATTAGTCTGGAAAGGTGAACATCAACTGAAAAGGGTCGATAACAAACACTACTCACCAAATATGCAGCCAACCGACCACATATCCACGGGCGTTGCATAGTGGGTGGCGCCAAGAAGTACCTCCGGAGCTCGATACCAGAGTTAGAATCTGCAACCAACAGCGATGAATTAGTGCGATATGAGAGCTTCTGAGGCTTGTTACCGTAGCGTAAGTACGTCAATGTCATTACCTCGTGTGTGTAGCTCTTGATGGGAACGGTAAATGCACGGCCCAAACCAAGATCAGCAATTTTTACCAAGCCCCGATCTTTGTCGACAAGAAGGTTCTGTGGCTTAAGGTCTCTGCGTGTACGAATGAGATTGTAAGCTTACATTGAGAGGGTCAAGGGAAAGAAGCGTGCAGAGCTGAATCCTCACCTGTGCATAACTCCGTGGCTATGGCAGTGGGCAACCCCTTTGAGGAGTTGATACATGAAATTCTGTAATCAACCCGATGAAACAGTCAGTCAGCAACATGAAGACCACCTTTCATGCGCCATGAGGAGGCATTGACAACTCGACTACACACCTTGACAATCTTAGGGTCCAACGGGTCCATGCCAAGCGCATCCATGTACTTCTTGAGATCGGTGTCCAGGTACTCGAAGACCAGGTAAAGCACGGGCGTGTTGTACTCGGTGATGTGCTCCACGTTGAGTAATCTGAGAAACGGGAGGAATACCAGTCAGGATGAGATGGAAACCAAGACTGAAAGCTAAGCGGAGGGCTCTGGCGGGACTGCCTGCGTTCTTACCGTACGACATGCACGCTCTTTGAAAGCAAATTCAAAAGAGAAACTTCACGGATGGTTGTCGGTGGAAACCCCTCTTTCCCCATCTCCAGAATCGTCTTCTTCAGGGCCACAGTCTTGCCAGTCTTCTTGCATCTCGCTTTGTATACCTTCCCATAGGTACCTTCGCCTACTTTCTCAAGCCTTTCGTAGTCCTCCATGGCAAAAGATAGTATCGAAAATGAGAGGGACCAAGCCTGGTTTTATAACCCTGGTGGGAGGCTATGAAGACGTGTGTTTGCAGGGACGAACTGGGCTAAGCTCGGAAACTGAGTTGGTGATGGCAAACAGAAGGTGGCCATAATGGCAGTGTCCGTCCGAGTCCGACCCGGCCTACTTTGCAAATTCGGGTGGATATTCGGTCCCACACTGCATGACGGACTACCACGATTATGAGAGAGTATTCCGGCCTGTTACAAACAGCCAACCTCGTAACAGGCGATCGTCTAAACGACTCCCACCGACACCGCGCGACCCCACACGATCCCCACCTCTAGCCCTCTTTTGGGGATTTTTGGGGGCCTCCAACATTCTTGGAGTGCGACTGCAAAAGCTGTTTGTAGCAGCCTGTTACGAGCCCGGAATGCGGCCTGACTCTGCCCATTTCAGGGCTCGTCATCTTTTTAGGCTGTGTGGCCGTATCAGTGTAATCTCCGCTCGGCCCACAAGGGTACTATAGTCCAGTGATCGCAACAATCTTCGTTGGTGATACTCGTTCCTCTTCTGTTTCGCTCTCACAATTGGCCAGTATCGCAGTGACGGACCTTTTTGCCTGGAACATTGGTCCGTGCCTGCAGTCTCTGACAAAGCCACTCAACCGATGTTGGAGTTGGGGTTCAGTCCATGAACAATAGTGAAGCGTAGAACTGGCCAAGGACGCGTCCCCTGAAGCGGATCGACCCGCTGGAAGATCGGTATGGAACGCGAGTGTGGCACTGAAGCGTGTGAATCAACAAGGTAACCAGATTTCGTAGAAGCTGGAGAGGGTACACTATATTTGCTCCCGCGATCTTGTCACCCACTCTTTACACGATCGATATGGCGAAGCGGCCATATCGATCGCGAGTTTGGGGGGCGCAACCTGAACTTCGCGCCCAGGATGACATGTGTTACGATATGTGTTACGAGTGCAATTGAGTGAACGAGCTAGAATTGCACTATCGAAGCAAGAGTACAATGAGCGAAGGCATGAGCGAAGAATTGAGAAGAATGAAGAACGAGGATGAATGAACTATGAATGAGGTGAGTACATATGGAAAACCCTAATTGGGTTGTACCCCCTATGGGATACCCCACTATAGCCTACACAACAGCATAAGCTATATAATGTTCTGACACACCCCCATAGGCAAAGTGGGGGAGAACAAGGGGTCACAAGACCAGTCAAGCAAAGCAGAGCAAGCTCAGGGTGGATCACAACGTCACCACACAGTCCGAGCACAACGACAAGGCCACAAGGCCAGTTCACATGCAGGAGTACACATATATATATAGAGCTAGACAAGCAAGAGCAGGTATATATATGTGACAGTACAAGTAAGGTCAAGAGGAGAGCAAGTGAGGCAAGACAGGTACAAGACCCAGCTGAGTGCAGAAGCGCTGATGGTCACAAGGCGCAAGTGCCTTGGTGAACACATCAGCAGTGTTGGCCTGAGAGGCCACGTACGCAAGTCGCAACTGACCACGCTGCTGCAGCTCACGAGCAAGAAAGTAACGGAGAGCAATGTGCTTCGTTCTGTGCTCCAAGCGCTGCTCTCGACACAAGGCCAGCATGGCCTTGTTGTCTACGTACAGCACTGGAGGAGAACGAGGCGGCTCTCCAAGGTCAGTCAGCAGGTAGGTGAGCCAGCGAAGCTCCTGTGCAGCCATGGCCCCGGCGTAGATCTCAGCCTCACAACTGGAGCCGAGAACAGAGGACGAGCGAGTAGCTCGCCACGAGACAGAGCCGGAACCAAGACTGAAGGTGTAACCCTGCGACGACCGCTGCGTAGCCTGGTCGTCAGCCCAAGAAGCGTCCGCGTGCCCAGTGAGGACCACTGGACTCCGCCCTCCAAGCACTAGTCCCATGCCCGACGTACTGCACAAGTATCGCAACACCCTCTTCGCTGCAGCCATGTGCTCTGGTCGGTGTCTCCCAGGAGCAACATAGCGTGCAAGAATGCTAAGAGGGTATGCAAGGTCAGGTCGTGTGCAGGTCATCAGGTACATGAGGCAGCCAACAAGCTCTGGATACGGGCCACTCGACTCTACTGACTCATCCGAAGGCAGAGCTGAGAGTGAGTGGCGAGTAGGCAGAGGAGTGGCCTGAGGCGAGGAGTACGTGAAGCCGAAGCGCTGAAGGACCTGCTGCACCATGTGTGACTGAGTCAGGGTAATGGTGCGGCGTGCTCTGTCCCGGGTGATCTGCAAGCCAAGGTAGCTGCGCAGTTCACCCAGGTCTGTGCACGTGTGTCTCTTCTGCAGCTCGGACTTCACGTGGGCGAGTCCAGCAGTGTCAGCTGTGGCAAAGACCAAGTCGTCGACGTACACGAGGATGTAGAACGGCGGCAGAGAGGTGTCGGTGCGTAGAAACAGCGACGGGTCGGCAGTAGAAGGAGCAAACCCAAGAGCCGCAAGCGTAGTCCTCAGTGTGTCGTGCCACTCACGTGGCGCCTGGCGGAGACCGTAGACTGGACGCCGGAGACTCCACTGGGTACCAGGAGGGAAAGACCCAGTGAAGCCAAGTGGGCGGCGCAGCCAGATCTCCTCGTGCAGGCTGCCCTGCAAGAAAGCAGTGCTGAAGTCGAGAGAGTGCAGCTCGTAGTCACGGTGAGCAGCAACGTGTAGCAGCACCCGAAGAGTGGTCATCTTCGGGGTGGGGGAGAAGGTCTGAAAGTAGTCAACTCCCTGTCGCTGACTGAAGCCACGAGCCACGTAACGTGCCTTGAAGACAGGCGGAGAACCCGGCGGCCGCTTCACCCTGAAGATCCACATGCCACTGACGATGTTCGCCCCAAGAGGGGGGACAGCGTCAACGTAGGTGCCTGTGGACTTCCAGGAAGCCATCTCTGCATCCATAGCTGCCTGCCACTGAGAGGAGTAGGGACCCTCTATCGCCTCCGCGTAAGAGCGCGGAGTCGGGATGTCAAGTG